CTCTTTACAGCTTTTTCTGGTTTTCTGTCTAATTTCTCAATTTTTGTCTCCTAGACTATTGAAAAAAATTTAAAGCAAATTAACGTCGCCGCGGTTTATTTCGAGAAAAAAGAAGTAAAATCAGAATATTTCCTATCGATCAACAGCTATTTAATTAAGCTTCAGGAGCGTTAATTTAATTTTCTTGAGTGCATTTTACATGATTATGTTGAGATAAGGCAATCTTTAGGTTGATCCAACTGAAATGGATCAAAGGTTCACTGTCTAATAAAACCAATGGTATACTAGAGCTTCCGACCCTGTTTCTATTGGCGTTCGCGTGTTTTAGGTATTAAGAATCAACGAATTTTTTTCTTCAAAATTTAAATTTCCAAACCTGTAGTTGTGGTCTATCAGAGTACTCTCAGGGGTTGTGAACCCTGCCTCCACTTACGACTGCTCAAATGTGTGTAGTTTTCGGGATATGACGTTTTTTTGTAGTTTTTCCAAAAAATTTTCAAAAATTTAAAATTAATTATTTTTCCAAATTTCAAACCCTTATCCTGTAGTTGGGTGCAGTCAGGGTGGAGTGCGGTCTGTTTTTAGACAACCGCGTGTTCATACTTGTCAGTAAGCAGACAAATACCATATTAACCAATCAGAATCGAGATGAAAAAGCAAACTTTTGAAATGTGTCACCTTTTGTGATTTCTTTTGAGATTTCTAGGTACTATCAGGGGTTACGATACTTGCCTTCAAATATAACTGCTCAAACCCTTGTAGTTTTCGAGATGACGTTTTTTGGGATCATTCGAATACATTTCAGAAAACTTAACGAAATTGTTTTCTTCAAAATTTGAAATTCTTAACCATGTAATTGGGTGCTGTCAGAGTACATAAAAAGCCTGCAGATCTGGTTTCCAATATATGCGATTTTTCATGAGTTGTCAAAAGTTCAAAGCACGGAGGTGCGTTACACGCTTGTTTCTCTTAACCTCATATGTGACGTAAGCGGATGACTGTTACAAATTCTCAGTAAACTTGGAAAGTGAGTTCTCTTGTCATGATACTCAATTGTGAATACAGTAATTGTCTACTTACAGGCGAGTATGATTAGGCGCTTGTCTTTTTACAGACCGCACTCCGAGACAAGTATATGAAAAAAAGACCTCTTTATAGCTTTTTTCTGGTTTTCTGTCTACTTTCTCGATTTCTGTCTCCTATTGAAAAAAATTGAAAGCAAATTAACGTCGCCGCGGTGTATTTCGAGAAAAAGAAGTAAAATCAGAATATTTCCTATCGATCAACAGCTATTTAATTAAGCTTCAGGAGCGTTGATTTAATTTTCTTGAGTGCATTTTACGTGATTATGTTGAGATAAAGCGATCTTTAGGTTTATCCAACTGAAATGGATCAAAGGTTCACTGTCTAATAAAACTAATGGTATACTAGAGCTTCCGACCCTGTTTCTATTGGCGTTCGCGTGTTTTAGGTATTAAGAGAGCTAGCCATGGGGGCGTTATTAGTTCTAGAGCAGTTTGGATAGTGGCCTTCAAGCAGTATCACACGATTTGTAGTCTCATGTCGTACGCAATCCGAAATTGCTCCGAGTGAAAGAGGTATAAGCGCACAAGAGATAGTGTCCATGACCCTTGAGCCAATGGTTATAGGGCCTGTTTTTCTTAAATTTGTATGTGACATAGGTGCGACTGTTACATTTCTATCTTTTTTTCGATCCTTCTTTTTCGATCTCTTTTTCTTTCTTCAGTTTTTTTTTCAATCTTTCTTTTTCTGTCCTTCTTTTTGATTTTCTTAAAATTTCTTGTATATTATTTTGATCCTCCTTTTTCTTATATGTCGTTTTCAATCCCTTTTCGATTTCTTTTTCGATCCCTCTTTTTAATCTTTTTTTTTTCATATATGTTTTTTTTTATTAAAACTTGAATTTTCAAAAAATTTGATGTAATTTCTGTTTTTCAAAACTTGAAATGCCTCACCCTTTAGTTGGGTGCTGTCAGGGTACTCCCATAAATTGCGTTTCTTGCCTCCGAGATATGACGTTTTTTGTTCAAGATTTTTTTTCAAGAGCTTTTCAAATCTTACCCTGTAGTTGTGTGCTGCCAGAGTACTCTCAGGGGTTGCGAATCTTGCCTCCAATTATGATTGCTCGAAGCCTTCTAGTGTTCGATGTATGACGTTTTTGTTTTTGATTTTTCAGCAAACTTAAAGAATTTTTGTTCTTCAAAATTTGATATTTTCAACCCTGTACTTGGGGGCTATCAGAGTACTCTCAGGGAATTGCGATCCTTGCCTCTAATTGTGACTGCTCAATTTCTTGTAATTTTCGAGATATGACGTTTCTTGTGATTTTTTCAGAAAAAATCATTTATTTTTCTTTCAAAGTTTGGACTTCTTTACCCTTAAGGTGTGTGATGTCAGGGTATTCTGAGGAGTTGCGAATCTTGCTTCCAAATACGACTGCTCAAATCTTTTAGTTTTCGAGAAATGACGTTTTTCGTGATTTTTCAAAAAAATTCAGAAAACTCAACGAATTTTTTTCTTCAAAATTTAAATTTCCAAACCGTATGTTGTGGTCTATCAGAGTACTCTCAGGGGTTCTGAACCCTGCCTCCAGTTGCGACTGCTCAAACGTGTGTAGTTTTCGGGATATGACGTTTTTTTGTAGTTTTTCCAAAAAATTTTCAAAAATTTCAAATTCTATATTTTTCCCAATTTCAAACCCTTATCCTGTAGTTGGGTGCAGTCAGGGTGGAATGCGGTCTGTTTTTAGACAACCGCGTGTTCATACTCGTCAGTAAGTAGACAAATACCATATTAACCAATCAGAATCGAGATGAAAAAGCAAACTTTTGATAAGTGTTACCTTTTGTGATTTCTAGATACTATCAGAGGTTACGATACTTGCCTTCAAATATGACTGCTCAGATCCTTGTAGTTTTCGAGATGACGTTTTTTTGGGATCATTCGAATACATTTCAGAAAACTTAACGAAATTGTTTTCTTCAAAATTTGAAATTCCTAACAGAGCAGGGTGGAGGGTATTTTGATAGTGGCCTTCAAGCAGTATCACACGATTTGTAGTCTCATGTCGTACGCAATCCGAAATTGCTCCGAGTGAAAGAGGTATAAGCGCACAAGAGATAGTGTCCATGACCCTTGAGCCAATGGTTATAGGGCCTGTTTTTCTTAAATTCGTATGTGACATAGGTGCGACTGTTACATTTCTATCTTTTTTTCGATCCTTCTTTTTCGATCTCTTTTTCTATCTCTTTTTCTTTCTTCAATTTTTTTCAATCTTTCTTTTCCTGTCCTTCTTTTTGATTTTCTTAAAATTTCTTGTATATTATTTTGATCCTCCTTTTTCTTATATGTCGTTTTCAATCCCTTTTCGATTTCTTTTTCGATCCCTCTTTTCGATCTTTTTTTTCATATATGTTTGTTTTTGATTAAAACTTAAATTTTCAAAAAATTGATGTAATTTCTGTTTTTCAAAATTTGAAATGCCTCACCTTTTAGTTGGGTGCTGTCAGGGTACTCCCATAAATTGCGTATCTTGCCTCCAAGATCTTGCCTCCGAGATATGACGTTTTTCGTGATTTTTTTAAGAGTTTTTTCAAAAACGAAATAATTTTTGTTTTCTAAGTTTGAAATCCCTTACCCTGTAGTTGTGTGCTGTCAGAGTACTCTCAGGGATTGCGAATCTTGCCTCTAATTATGATTGCTCGAAGCCTTCTAGTGTTCGATTTATGACGTTTTTGTTTTTAATTTTTCAGCAAACTTAAAGAATTTTTGTATTCAAAGTTTGGTATTTTCAACCCTGTACCTGGGGGCTATCAAAGTACTCTCAGGGAATTGCGATCCTTGCCTCCAATTGTGACTGCTCAATTTCTTGTATTTTTTGAGATATGACGTTTCTTGTGATTTTTCAAAAAAGTTCATTTAATTTTTTTTCAAAGTTTGGACTTCTTTACCCTTAAGTTGTGTGATGTCAGGGTACTCTGAGGAGTTGCGAATCTTGTCTCCAAATACGACTGCTCAAATCTTTTAGTTTTCGAGATATGACGTTTTTCGTGATTTTTCAAAAAAATTCAGAAAACTCAACGAATTTTTTCTCTTCAAAATTTTAATTTCCAAACCTGTAGTTGGGGTCTATCAGAGTACTCTCAGGGGTTGTGAACCCTGCCTCCAGTTATGACTACTCAAATGTGTATAGTTTTCGGGATATGACGTCTTTTTGTGGTTTTTCCAAAAAAATTTCAAATTATTATTTTCAAATTTAAAACCCTTACCCTGTAGTTGGGTGCAGTTAGGGTGGAGTGCGGTCTGTATTTAGACAACCGCGTGTTCATACACGTCAGTAAGCAGACAAATACCATATCAACCAATCAGAAGCGAGATGAAAAAGCAAACTTTTGAAATGTGTCACCTTTTGTGATTTCTAGATACTATCAGAGGTTACGATACTTGCCTTCAAATATGACTGCTCAGATCCTTTGTAGTTTTCGAGATGACTGTTTTTTGGGATCATTCGAATAAATTCCAGAAAACTTAACGAAATTGTTTTCTTCAAAATTTGAAATTCCTACCCATGTAATTGGGTGCTGTCAGAGTACACTAAAAGCCTGCAGATCTGGTTTCCAATATATGCGATTTTTCATGAGTTGTCAAAAGTTCGAAGCACCGGAGGTGCGTTACACGCTAGTTTCTCTTAACCTCATATGTGACGTAAGCGGACGACTGTTACAAATTCTCAGTAAACTTGGTAAGTGTGCTCTCTTGTCATGATTCTCATTGGTGAATACAGAAATTGTCTACTTAAAGACGAGTATGATTACGCGCTTGTCTACTCACAGACCGCACTCCGAGACAAGTATATGAAAAAAGACGTCTTTATAGCTTTTTTCTGGTTTTCTGTCTACTTTCTCGATTTCTGTTTTCTAGACTATTGAAAAAAGTGAACGCAAATTAACGTCGCCGCGGTTTATTTCGAGAAAAAGAGGTAAAATCAGAATATTTTTTATCGATCAACAGCTATTTAATTAAGTTTCAGGAGCATTAAAGAAGGCTTTTCGGGAAGAAGTAGTTGTCTGCTGTCTGGGTTTGTTTCGTGAAGGCCTCTGGTCTTCAGGAAGAACCGGCATGTTGTCCGACGTCACTTGTCGAGACGCAAAAACCGTAGAGTTAAGTTTGCCAATAGATGTAGTGTGGAAGAATGGGTGCTTCAACACTGAGCTATCAATACGAGAGTTCGCAATTGAAGCTTCTTGTTCTTTTTTAGCCATTTTGAGAGCTCCATAATTCGAAGTTCGCAGGACGTATGCATCAAAGTCGGTCTTCAGTTTGACTTGCTGCTTCCGCATTGATTTGATCTCAGAGTACACCATGTTTTCGTCTGCATTTTCCTGTTGTTCGAATGTTTCATGGAGCGACTTCTGGTAGGCCAGAGTCGCTTCAGCTCTGTCTCGGGAAATTCGTGAAATTGCTTCGAGGGCTTGTTTATCCTGGCCAATTGGACTTATGTTTTGCTCACGAAGTTCTTCTGTAATTTCCTTCCAAACTTCGCTTATTTTGAAGTCTAAAAAACATAATTGTTTTCCATCGCGGTTGAACTGAAATGTGTTTTCTAACAAAGGTAGCCGGTTGATGTGCAAGTAGAATAGTTCCGATCAAACTCATTTAATCGTTTTAATAAATACCAATTACCGTGGTGCATAAACGTTTCATGTTTTAGTTCAGCTATACCCTTTATTGCATTTTATTTCAAAAAAAAACTTAATAAAGGGGGTTTCTGGGGATGTTGAATAAAAGAGTTATCGGTACTACTATGATAGACAGGTCCCGCATGCATATTGCATGTAATAATTTTGAAAATTAGTTGGGTTATAAATTATTCATTTCAAAAATCTTGCAAAATATGTTCAGCCAAATACTTTCCAAATTGAAAATTTTAATCACTTTTGTTTATACATTGAAATTTACTCGCTTTACTTTATTTTACGGTTTAACGACCATATGATTGGATTGACTTATTTGTCATCAAAACCCACAATTGGCGGTTTTTTTTTTTAGATTTTCAATTCTAAAATGGTTAGGGGGAGGTTTTATAAGATAACAAAACATAAAATTTGTGAAAATATACTGTGACATCTTTTTGAAGCGCTCAATCATAATTACTAAACGATTTGAGAGCTCTAGGTGTCTTATTCTCAAAAGACCTGGTTATTTTCAAGGGACCACTCTATCATAGTAGTACCGAGTTATCATATCGATGCAGAAATAATTGGAACCTATTTTTAACTCCACAACCGGGATCTAAAGCCCTCAGTCAGCTGCGATTTTTTTTATTAGCCCCCGGCCTGCTCAGTGCAGAACCAACTGTAGGGGAGGGGGAGAGGCCATCCATTTTGCCGCAGCCGTCCCACCTTGAGGAGGCGGATGACACTGGGAACCCTCCAACCGTGACCGAAGCGGGATTCGAACGCATGACCCCAACAACAACAAAACATATTTTTCGATATATTGAAAAATGCGATAGTGAAATTCCTGTGTAAAATTGCTTACCGAAGTACCGCTCGATGTTAGCGAGCCATATATAATCCGTCGGAGCCAGACCTGGAAGCTCGTTGAATCCAATTTTGGTGAAAATTCCAAAAATCTTTGGCTTCATGTCGACGCTTACTTGTGATATGCTGTAGCTCATTTCATTCGAGCAACGTGGAGCGTTTTCTTCCAGGGCTGTCTCGAGCGGATTGTCGGGGTCTCGAAGGAACATTCGCTCCTCGGGCGGTTTTTGGCCTGGAAGACTAGTCGATGTTCCAACGCAGTCTTGCTGCCACAGAATGATAAGTAGCTTCGCTATTTTGAGCTCAGACTTTCCTAAAAATCATATATATATTCCGTATAATATACGTTGTAATGTTGGTAGTATTGTTGGCAAAAGTTGTAAGTTGGCCTTTTTAGCAAATACGCAATTTTCAAATGCAATTTGTGGTACATTAGTCTTGTCAACTGTAAAAGAAGGAAACGATTTTCACTCATATTGGTCTAGATGATTTTTGTTGCTTTTTTTTCAGGAAAAAGTTTTTAAAATATTGACATTAAGTTTGATTCTTAGAGGCTTTTTCTTATGATTTTTTTAAAGTTCACTTTATTTGTTATAGCTTACCTATCCAAGTCATGGCGTGATGCAGCGACTTCGGATTCTCCAGTAAGTCCAAGAGACATCCTAAAATCACAGATTTCAAACTATCTCCATTTTTGTTGGCCAATTTAGCCCGGCTGGCTTGTTCGCTTTTATCCACTTGAGTCTGAAGCAAGTCCAAAAGAACGAACACTCCTTCTAGTTCGAGAAAGATGCACTCATTTGTGTATGACCCGCAAACACAGTTCCAAACTGTCTCGAGAGTTGCGAGGATAAGTCGGCTGTATCCCAGACCAAGACAGACTTTCTTTGGGTTTATCCGAAGGGTTTTGGTCAGAATCTGTATTGCTTCTTCGCCTGATATGAATAGAATCATATGTAAATAAAAATATAATTTTTTCTTTGACTTGATTCTATAAATCTTAAAATTAGCAAAAAAAAACAGCAAATTGGGTCGATTTTGACTCAGTGGTCGACTAGAGTGAAAATTGTGTCTTATCAGAACAATCTGTTTCTTAGTTTTCTGGTGTCGTTGTAAAAGTGTACTTTGTAAATAATAGTTCGTTACCGTCGATGCGGGGTAGAAAAATCGACTATCAGTTGGCGTGCTCAAATTAGCTGTGAATTTTTGTCATTGAATTACTATTATTATGCATCTGACTTAAAGAATAGTCTGCTTCACCTATATTTTCTTTCCTGTCGTTGCTACTTTCCATCAGCAATGCCAAAGTGTACATTATTTCACATGTGATATCCAAATTGATGAAAGCGTCCGGTGCAATGCTTTGTGCTTGAGGCGTGAAGTCGTGAACAACCGTGCTGTCCATTATATCGACAGCTTTGTTCAGCTCCGCCAAGTAAGTTGCTAATAAACCAGTTCCCATAAGACCCTCGATTATTGGCTCATCTCCCAGCGATATTATCTTCCGCATAATTTTCAACGTGTACTTAGCTTGAGCTAGTTTCGAACCGCGGCCTCCTGTTCCAAAGACACTGTTTCCATGTCCTTTGTAATCTTGATCTGATGGCTCTAGACACCAATCCAGAAACCCGCAAAGAGCTCCCAAACCTCCTGTTTGGACTAGTTCTTCCAGCATGGTGGGTAGAAGTTTTGTAATCGAAGCCAAACATTGCAGCTGGATTTCCTCGAATTGTGAAGGTAGCCAAGTGATATCTTTATCAGGAACCGGGCTGACGTAGTAAAACATAGCGGGAAGGAGTTTGAATTCCTTCATAAGAGGCGTGAATGATGGATTCTCAGTTAAGTTCATGATGACAGCAAGGAGCATTCGTTTGAATTCAAAGTCCTCTTCACATTCTGAGAAGCGTAAGTTCCTCGTGATTTCGTAAGTGGATCTGGTTTCGCTGTATGAGAATAGAGATAGGATTGTTCTAGCTAGTCCAACTTCGATGAATGGTGCTAGGGGGTCCGTTTTAGCTATGAGGTTGATGATGGCCAGCAGGTCGTTTCGAATCGTCCTGAAATAAGAGCAACATGAAAAACAGATCTGTAGGCGAACGTTCATGTTTTTGTTCCGACCATTGAAAATAGGGAGGAACTTTGTATTCAGGTCTGTTTTAGTTTTTTTTTGTTTGTTTTCCACTCAAAGTCAGGTACCGCAAAAAATTATCGGACTGGGTTGAGTGATATATCATATTAAAGCTCTTACATTCGTGATTTGAAGCACATTCAATATTTTTCAAAAAGTTTTCCCTGTGCCGAGAAAACCAGTTTGAAATTTTTGATTTCTCATCTTATTTCTAGCGAATAAAGCGAGCGAGCAGTCTTATTTTAATTGCTTAAAAGCTAACAATAGCCTAATTCAAAACGCAAAAACTTAGTTTTACTTGGGTAACGTTAGTTAACTGAGTATTTTAGCGCCTTTTTGGAATCTAAAATTAAATAAACTAAAAAAAGTTTTCGAAAATTTTTCGAAGTTTTTTTTTGTTTTTCTCGTATTTTTGCTGCAAAAATTGTTTTTCAATTTGCTTATTTTAGTATGGCTGTCGAATATACCTAATCATCAGTTATTTGTTCAGCTCCTTTTATCACACCACGTCAAAAAATGACAATAATTTGAAAAACTATCTTTTTAAGACTGGTCGGAACATTCTGTGCTACTTGCACAGTAACCGGATTTTTTATGTTAGTTTCTTGAAAATGAACATGAAAAGTAAATTTTCTTAACGAAGTGCATTATAGTTTTAGTTCAACTTGTTAAGATATATTAAACATCTAAAACTACTTGAAACTTCAGCAATGTTCTTAACGTTTCAGAGAAGCAAGCTTTATCAAATCGGAACGTAGACTTTGTTCGATATAAACAACTGGTTTAACAGAATCCCTCAATAATTTCCCCAAAACTGTATTTTTGTCAACCAATAGACATATTTTTGATCATGTCTATTTCTAAAACATCCGAAGTTTGATTTTTGAGTTCGTCAACATTCTTTTTTTGTTCGGAACATTGAAAATGGGAGGAACTTTGTTTTCGTGTGTGTTTGTTTTATTCTTCTTGTTTTCACACAAAATCAGGTAACACAAACAATAACTGGACTAGGTTGAGTGATATATCATAATAAAGCCCTTTCAGTCGTAATTTGAGCCATAGGAGAAAATGCCCTAATGTTTGATTCTCGTCTAATTTCGAGTGAGGAAAGCGAGCGAGCACGGTTATTTATGCTTATTTTAGGCCGCTTACAATAATTTATAAATGCCCAATTTTAATTTCGCCCGAATAAAAGTTTTTGGAGAGTTTTAATGCCATTTTGGGAATCAAAAATTACAGAAAATCAAAAAGTTTCTACTGGAATTAAAACTATTATAAAAATTGTTGATTTTTTTGATATTCTTATGATTTTGTTTTTGTTTTTCGAGTCATTTTTTTTTCAAAATCTGTTACCGATTTGCCTGACCGTCGAATATGCCTGACTTATACTTTTATATGAGGTCCCTTTATCACTACGCAGAAAAAGTTACACTAATTTGAACAAAAATTTACACTTAGTGTCAGCTTAGTCTATTGTTAAGAACCTTCTTTTTTCTAACCTAAGTCGCAAATATTGGTGTCACTTTTGGGGCACTCTTACAGTTTTTTGGTAGCATGTGCTTTGATGTTCGAATATTAATAAGTTAACACAGTTGGTGCATTTTAATTCATCAAATGCACCGAAGAAAGTTATTTGCTTAATCAACATAACAAGAATGAAAACACGATTTCAGAAATTTTCTAACTTAATATATCTGGCAATTTTTTGAAATTCATAATGTATTTATGATAAGGCTTTGAGCTTTGCTATTTGTTACATGCAAAGTTAGTGTAGATGCCTTCAGTTAGGGCTATTTCAAATTATTATTCACATTGTGTTTATTTGTATTTGGTGCCACTTTTGCCGAATGGCATTGGCACTCTATTAGCATATGTAGCTTATTTATTCGTGACTAGTGTTTGTAGCTGGCTAAGCGTGTGTAGCTGAGTGTTTAGTGCGTGAGACTCAAAATCACCTGATTGCAATAGGTCGCTGATCGAATCCTTGATTAGCCGAATTGTTGCTAATTCGAGGCTTATTTCATTTTTTTCTTATTGCACTTTCTAGAGCTGCTTTTTTCGTGTTCTCGCTAGTGTGTGGGAAGCTTCGCCTCTGTAAAACGTTATGGTCGAACATTATGTGCTACTTGCACAGTGAGCGGCTATCCTTGTTTCTTTTTCTATTTATTTGACTTCAAAAGTTTTAGCACATAATGTATTGACCTAGAGGAATAATATTGTGTCGTTTGTTGAGCAAAAAAACCTGATACGTATGTGTGAGTGTTTTGAGGTGAGGGGGCATGGAAAACATTTTTTTGAGCTGTTAACTTTCTTATGAAAACAATTTTTTGGCTCTTTTTCCTTTTCCCCCCACCTGCAAATTTTTATAATTGAAGTTTCTGTTCACATTGTCCGATTGTCATGAAAATTGACATGCAGACTAATTAGGCCATGACAAACATATTTGGTCTTCATAATTAACCTTGTGAAACCACTCGTTTGACCGTAAAATTAATGTTTGAGTGAGGTGGGGGGGGAAAGGAAAAAGAGCCAATTTTTTTTTTCGGCATAACAAGTATGTGCGCAAGTATTGTCCGCTTTATGGGCGCATCGTTGGTTTTGGCCCGTTCCAAATCTAACATTCAATTGTCATGCTGATTTTTTTCACGACAATTTGAGACAAGCGAACGAACTTTTTGGAAGTTAAAAAGCGTTGAATAGCGTCCAAAATTGGATGATGGCATTATTACTTAATTTACCTGTAGTGCTTGCTGTGTGTCTTTGGTACCAGTGTAACGAACGTGTCATAGATGGCTCCCATGCAAGGTTGATTGGCAATCTGGTCTGTGACTGCCACTGCGTCTCCGTACTCCAGCAGATTCCACAGAATCTCAGTAGACAGATACAGACCCCTGTAAATAGACACAACGCAGCGAAAATATTAACTAACAACTAATAAAAATTATGACCCTTGGAGTTTTTGTGCTGACTACTAGCTTTAACCACACCTTGATAGTGATTTTTTGTTCAACCTAAAATAGCATGTTTCTTCGGTTTTTGGTCGATCTTTCTGGTCTTTGCTTTTAGGGCATCTCATCTCGCTTAACGAATAATTTTCTCGCTTTTTCGTACGCTAAAGCTATTCAACGCCATTGCTGATGGAAGCTACCGAGGGTTTGGACGACATATTTACCCAAAAAGGATGATTATTATGTTGGACTAAAAATTGTCATGAACCGTACAACTATGTTTAGTACAACTTAGATAGGCAATTCTCGAGACAACGCGTTAACTCGCAAAATAGTCAACTTATAAATTTTAAGAAAATCGACAACGCTGGAAAATTTGGTTCAACGAAGTTTGAAAATTAGTTTAAAACCAGGCACTGACAAGTAGAGATTTCTTATTCTACTCGGATCCGCTGCGCTTAACTACATTCGGTACAAGTGATACTGTGCGCGTGAAACTGTTGATGCCGCTATTCTAGATTGTCTTGTTTGGTTATTAAAGAGTTAATTTAAAGAGCGAATTGTCTAGTTTTTTAGGTGTCTTTTTGCTTAGAGTTAATTTGAAGAAAGGTGCTTTTTTCTAAACTTTTTTTGCCAGTTGTGATGTTACGCATTGCGAAACATACCTGTCGACTTCATCTTCGATCGTTGGCATGCGAATGGAGATAGAGAAGGCGCCTCCTGATTGGATGACCAGGTGACAATTAGTGGCTGATTTGGTAGTCAGGTAGCGCAGGATCTAAAAATAGGAGAAATATTATCGGACATAAATATGGTCACGATAGCACACAGTCATCACAGCTAAATGTTTCGGCTCTTTTTTCTTTTCCCCCCACCTCACACGAACATGAATTTTATGTTATAACGAGTAGTTTTAGAAGGTTATTTATGAAGACCTAATATGTTTGTCATAACCTAATTAGTCCGTATGTCAATTTTCATAACAATCGAACTGTGTGAACAAAGTTTTTACTTGTAAAATTTTACAGGTGGGAGAAAGGAAAAAGAGCCTATGTTTCCAGACTATTTCCGCTGATGTTGAAAATGGTATTTTTTGTAATGTCACTTGGAATTACTGTTCGCTTTACGGTAACAAGAGCGAAGTCGATTCTGAACGCATTTGAAAGTTGATTGGAAGGAGTTTTAGGGTTTTATTGATTGAAATAATACTTAATATATCTATTATTGATTGAAATATTATCTAATAATGGATAAGCAGATGAACTTCGACCATCAAAATAAAATGATTGCTCAGAGTTAAGTAATAACAATGGGTTTATCCCAATCGAGAACAAGCTTAAATAACTTCTCTGTACCTGGAAGAGGACATTAATGACTAGTGGAGACTGGAGTAGTGTCATGGCCTTGACCAGTGTCTCTGCCACCTCACTCAACTCCAACATGTATCTGCTGTGTTCAGTCGGAACTCTCTGCTCCTCATCCGGTGCATTCCTCACTGTCTCCGATTCCTCCTTCTTTACCTGGAAATGAATTTCTCTACGAATTTATTCAAATGTTTAAAAAAAACGTAGCGTATTTTTTCTTTTTTTTATAATTTTGTTTTTACCATCACTGTGATTTTGCTATATTAGGGGGCGGGGGTATTAATTTGCTGGGGGGGCTATAATAGGAAATAAAGACCCCGTGTATCTCTACCTTTGGTTTGGGCATGGCTGATCCCAAGTATATAGCTAGGAGGGTGTGGCATATCTGAAGTTGCAGTTCCTCGTTGTCTATCCTCAGCAGGAACCCCAACTGGGCGAAGCTGTCTCGCAGCACTCCCTTATAGGCCACGTCGTCCGAGAGCTTCTCTGTAATGATAGAAATTTGATTTATTTAAGCTATTTTAACGTTAGTCATAATATACTGAAATTTTGCATGGTGAGCAATTTAACGACTGTGGACACACAACAAATTTGTTCTTCATATCTTAAATCGTAACATCACGCATTCAGTCATATTTACTAAAATGTAAGCTAACTAAGAAAATGGATTTTTTGAACAGTTAAAGGGAGGAGTGGGAAAGAGCAGTGTGTTTCATGGAAAGAAGAAAAATTTGATCTTCATAAACGTTTTCCTTATTCTCTCACCTTTCTTGAACGGCTTCTCCGCAATCTTGATCATCTGAATCATAGGCCTCAAGTACCTCTGATCTTCCAGACTCCTGTCAGCACACGCGTTCAAAATAGTCAAAATGTCAACCAGATCTCGCAAGTAGAACCCATCTTCATACTCAGTCACTATTTTCTGCAATATATGCAAATGTCGCTTAGTCAGATCACGTGAGTGAGGATCCGTGAACAAAGTAACAGCGTGTGAAATCTTCACTGGGTGAAAGTTGGAAGGCATTTCGTTCAAGTTAGGCTCGTCTGGTAAAACATGGCGCATAATGGGAGGCATAGTTTTGGTCTGTTTTTGCATCATTGGATGCATAACAGATTGAGCGCTTGTAGCACTGAAAGGCTCTTGAACCTTAGATTCGGCTATTGCCATTTTGATGGATCTAATTAACGTTTAATTGTCCTTATTTAAGCTAAAAATTCATTTTAAAAAGAAGTGTTTTGGCCTTTTCGAAATGAAGCTAAAATGCAATGCTGAGTTTTTATGTAGTTTTATATATGTACAATGCTGTTTTATGTGAAGATTTGATTGAATGGTAAAAAAACACGTGCAGATTCAGCTGAAAAGTATACCGATTTTTTAAACGTCGCGCTTACTGTTTATACCATACCTTATTGATTTGTTATCAAAGCTTTGAGCTTATTGAACTCTAAAACAAACCATCCAAAAATTTGTAGTTTTTTTCCAAACGTCTGCCCTAGAATATACAGTTTTTCTCCACCCCCCCCCCCCCCCCGCCCACCTAACAGAAGCATCAATTTTATCATTTTCTACAAAGTTAAATACGCAGACCAAATATGCTTGAGATAGCCTAGTGATAGTCAACATGTCAATATTTATAACGATTGGGCAATATGAACAAAAATTTTTATTTTGAAAATTTTGAAGGTAGGATGATCTGGTTCTGGGGAAGAGCCAAATAACGTATGAAATGTATATCATGTTTACATCGCTCTAAACTTGTTCAGTTATACCATTGCAATAGTTAAATAGTTAAAGCACCCCAAAAACATTCGCATTCATCTAAATTTTTTGTGAAATTGTAAAGGTCAACTAGTGACATTTGTTAGACGACGCTAGTGCGGTCAGTAACGCCTTTTAGGCGAGGTCTTACGAATTTTTATTGTTATTGAATTTTTATTATCGTATCTTTATTGTTTTTTTTGTGGTTTCTGAATCATTTTCCTGTTTTTCAGGTTTAATGTAGTCTAATTAATCAAAAGGATTTATCTAATCATCTAACTCCACAGTCGATGTACCTTCCTTGTGGTTGTGTGTAATTTGGAGTCTCGAGGAAGAATGTCGAATGTGAAGAGCCACAAATCTGCAATTGTGCTTGTGCCTAAAGTCTCGGAGGAGTTGTTGGGCACAATACAGAATATCAGACGGTAAGCACCAAAGAAACATTAGCTCTTTTATCTCCCCCTCCACCTCTCATAAGCATCGATTTCATGGTTTAACGAGTGGTTTTACAAGGTTGACTAAGAAAACCAAATGCGTTTGTCATGGCCTAATTAGTCCGTATGCCAGTTTTTATAATAAATGGCAATGTGAACAGAAAAATTACTCTAAAAAATTTGCAGGTGGGGAGAAGGAAAAAGAGCCGAAGCATTTATTTGATGCGTATAAAGATTTTCCTCACTCCTTAGAAATGTTGGCTCTTTTCCAGTCCTTTTATATGAAAGTCCATTTAAAATGCGTGAACAGTTGAACAAACTTCTACATTTCTAACATGCAAATTGCCGTGTGAACAATTTTTGAACATCTTTGTTTTGTAGTTTAATAAGGGGGTTGGAAAACGAAAAGAGCCCAAATGTTACACAAGAACAGCCGGTATAAAGTTTTTTTTAAATTTAGCAAGTACGACAAAGCTTTCAAGAGATGGATGCCCCACGTGAATCTAATCTACCCGTTCGTGGAACGAGAAGATGACAGCTTTAAAAAAGAAGTGGCCAACATCAAAAAGTGTTTCACACTGTGTGGAGTGAACAAGTTTGACATGAAGTTCAATTCGGAATCGGTGGGGTTTTTCGAGCACACTGCAACGTTCAATCTATTCTTGAAGCCATTTCCAGTTGATAGTAGTGACGTCATCGCTGACTGTGACGTGGGCAGTAGAAATCAGGTAGTTCAAAATTACTATATAAACCAGGAAGTGGTATCTAAACCAGCCGAAGTATCAACCAGCCGAAAACACATAAGTGTTATATATTAGTTATGGGATCTACTTAAAAATCTCCCCCCTTTAAAGGAAGGGGGAGATTGTTAAGTAAATTAAAACAGTCGAGTTTTTGACCAATCAGAACGCAGGAAAATTAGAATTCACAGTAGAAAGCTCTGTGCTAATTTACTGTATATATTCATAGAGGGGATTGTTAAGCAGATCCCATGGGGGGGGGGGGAGATTGTTAAGTAGATCCTAGTTATGTAACAGTTACGAAATTCATGCAAATTTCTTGCATATGATGTAATGTTTCTGCTGGCTTATATACTCTGCGCATTTTCGGTTGGCTTATACTTCGGTTGGTTTATTCATCACACTCAATTGGATAACTGAAGTTTTGGAAGAAAGATAGTCGGATCAAGTCAACATCCCCCGCTCCGCTAAAATGGGCCCAGAAAATATTCGCGAAAGGCTTAAAATTGACTGAAAATTCCCATTTAGAATCAAGAGAGTACATCGTAGCTTTGGCGGAAAGATAGTGTTAGTGTTTATATAGATTACTCAACAGAAAACGTAAATTTAATCGTAGTATTTGTGTTCAGAAAAGTAAAAGTCGATAATTCATCAGCGAAGAAAGTTAACTTAGTTTTTGTGATTTAAGGAAAGCGAATCGCTCTCAGGGTCAACAAAAGCTGCCGCATCAAGCACAATGGATTCAAAAGAACAACCGCTTGGCTACGTCGATCCATTTTCACAAATCAGCCAAGGATTAAATACCATCACGCCATCTTTATTCGACCTGCACGCTGCCAAAGACAACTCAATTGTTGGAACAGAACATGTCAACGATGCTTCGTTCAGCCAGTTTTGGGACAAGTCTTATGCTTGCTACAACTCAGAAACTCCCAAAAAATCAGCCAAAATTATACCAGAAACCCCCAAAATGGTTCCAAAGGAAAAGAAAACAGATCAATTTAAGAACTTCAGCTCCGAAGACATCGAACATTTTGACCAAATATACAAAGACAATGATTTAGAGAGAATTCGAAAATTACCGGCACTTCAAAGAATGCAAGCATCGCTTGTTCGAGTTTTTCCAGATTTTGACGATTTGAATACAATTTCAGAAGCAGGCTTCCAACCTCACTTAACGTTAGGACAATTTAAAAAGATGAATCTTAACAAACACTTAGCTGAAATTAAAGAGGCTTTGTTTGAAGATGGCAATGATGAAATTTTCACAGCTGACGAGATTGCCATCATCACGAGAAAGTCGGCTGAAGATCCTTTTGAAATACAAGCTATAATTCCACTGCCTGACAAAAATTCAAATAACTAAACTGCTCTAACAAACGTTTTTGAACATAGGTAAAACTTTCTTTTAAAATCTGATTATAATGCTGTAAGAAAAAAATTTTTTAATCTGTAAATATAGGTTCTATAAATAAACGAATTTGTTGAACATATCATTTGAATCATAGATCACAAAATTTAATTAAAATTTGAAGTCACTCGAAATTCGTTTTTCTATTATGACTACGACCTTTCGGATGTTAACAAACGACGTTTCAGAGACCACTGTGAAGGGTGGAAGCTACTGAAATGTAACACTACCCAGGTAAGTTTTCTTAATGTTAAGGTCATTGTTTTAATGTAAATCTTTGAAGTAAGTTTTAACGAAAGCTAATATATATTTTTTCGATGATCAAAACGAAATGCAGAACAAAATTCAACTATCTGGGTCGTACAAAGATAAGTTGATCATTACACAAGCTAAATAGTCTATTGCTATGTAGAAACTTTTTTTCAACATAAGTCGCAAATAAGTGTGCTCATTTGGTGGCACTTTTGGTATATTTCAATTTAATGCCTATATAAGCATAGATATTTTAATAGCACATGTTTTTGGCTAGCGTTAAATCCACCTTGCAAAAAGCGGGTATTATTAAAATTCGTGTCATTTGTTTTTTGTTTTTTTTCGACGATTTGGAAACTTTTTGCACTTATTGCAGAAATTTCAGTTTTTCTCAAAAACTACTTGACAAAATTTTAAAGTGGCATTAATGGGGACATCGGCTGCTCTTCTATGTGCCTACATATTTTCGCTAGTCTCTTTTCATTTAACGCCTAACTCTACGGCCTTCGAAGTTGCATCAGGTAGATTTTCGACCTATTTGTTTTGAGTTTTTTTCATTTGCTCGAATGTTAGCTTCACATATCTAAGACTAAGCTTTCAACTTAAAGAACAAATTATGGGGTTTTCCCCATTGTCAGTGGTTATTTCCTACCTTCAATAGAAAGAAGTTATGGAATCAAATAAGACCAGTTTTTGACATTTTGGCTAATTTTTAAAACTTTTAGACTTAAGGGGCTCAATCGCAACAGAAAGTGGTAGAAATTTTACTTGCTCAATTGGCTACGACCTTGTTTTCTTAGAAAAAAGACATTGGAGAATGTCCATTTTTCCAAACTTTCGACCTTTTTTTGGAAACTTTCCATTTTTCTCAAAAGTTCACATCTCAAAGCGTGTCACATCTCAAATAACGGGTTTTATCGAAAGAGAGAAAAAATTCCAGTTATGCAAACCTCTCTAGTGATTTTGAGCTTAATGGTTACTCAAGTCAACATGGTGCGTAGATCTTCCCTATCATAACTGTTTCACTCTATTTTTGTAGAAAACCCGATACGGACTTCGGAAAAATTGTCACTACTCTTGGAATTTAGTTGCTAAATTTGGTAATAATTTATTCGAAAAAATAGGTTGTGGCTATCTTCCCTGCCTAAGAGGCTATTCCCATGCTTAAGTGGAGAAAAGCTTTGAATTTTTGATAGTTTTTTGGAAACGTCATTTTTTAATAGTGTCTGTCCAAATATGAGATAAAGAATTCAATTGAAAAAGAAAGTGGTAGCTATCTCCTATAAATAAGCGGCGAATTCCCTATTCAAGCAGAAAATCTGAAAATGACGCATTTCTCAATTGGTACAAAATGAGAAAAAACCAATAAATCATGTCTATCCAGCATTAGCGGGGCTTCTAGTTTACTCTCAATTGTCCGGAGCGCAGACGTGAGACTCCTAGTCCACAGGTCGCAGACTAAGTTCCAGAACCTTGTAGTAGTTTAATTTTTATTTGATCGAACTTTTGATGCATAGCATTGGCTATTTTAAAGACACTGTGGCTGTTTTCAAGAATCGATAAACGTAGTTTTTATCGTAGATGAAACGATGATCTTTTTTCGTTTTTTTTCTTCAGAAAAAGTCTTAAAATTTGTTCAGACTCGATTTTTTGTTACTTTTGATTTCTTTCTTAGTTCGGTTCGTTTTTTTGGTAAAAGGAAGGCAAACTTCACCATTTTTTTACTGCGAAAGTGTAAAGGTCACAAAAAATGCGATCAATTTTTAGATTTCAGATTTCCAAATGAACAAAATACCTTCTGATCCAGTTTCTCAACTAGGGTTAATTTGACCAAAACGTGTCAATCAGAAATGGTACTAGAAAGTTAAAGATCTTTAAGGGCACTTGGTCTGGAGGTAACGAATGCGCTGTTGGCTACAGAGATCCTTAGTTACAATCTGACCGGACCTGTTCACTCAAACTGGAAATAATACGTTTCAAAAAAAGTTGTCGGATATTTATTGTCTGCTAATTTTTGTCGGCTTAGCTGCCTTATTGTAGATTTGTTTTTCTAAAAGGTTTTCTTTTAACATTATAGTTACTTTTAGTGTTCTCACCTACTTAAGCTGTTTGTTCTGCCCAACCCAAATAATTGCTGCCTATCCTATTTTTTATCGAGCTAGCGACTTAACTTTTGAGTCGTTTCAATGATTTTTTTTTGGTTTGATTTTTTTGGCTTATTTTATACTTATACTTGCTAACTTTTCTAAAATCTTGTTGATTTTTTTTTCGGCTGAAAGGGCTTCTGATTTCTGACAATGTTTTTTTTGGCTTTGTTACCGCTATGTACATCATCTTCTGATGCTAGTTTCACAGTTTAATGTCTTGACATGATTTTGTTTCAAAACTAGCCTTATTCATTTAAATATATCTATTTTTGTCAATATTTTTGAATTTTATTTCAGTTTTTTTATGTATCGCAACTGGTGCCAAGCTCAGCTTCGCCTATGTGTTCACTTTAGTTTGCCTTTTTAGAGGTTTTTTTTTGCATTTTCCTCACTTGTGTTTGCAAAGTTATCTTTTTAGTTATAGAATTCCTTACCAGGTGAGTAGAATCGATTTCAGTCTTTCGTTCATTTTTGTAAAAAAAAAAGTTTTGGTTCAATATATGGGTTTTGTATAATGTCCATTCAGAAATGCTACTTTTTGAAAAGACGATTAAGTGCTTTAATTTTGTATGTGAATGAACTAGCCGAAAAATACACCAGCCAAAAATGCGCAGAGCTTATAAGTCAGCCGAATTTCATGTGACAGAGGATATAAAACAGTCAAAAGTTATGTCATTTTTGACTTTTTCGTAACCGGTTACCCTTGGCGATAGCAAGGGTATTGCAATCGGGTACTAGACTTTTTTCCCGTAAACAACTTTGTCCACAACTTTGTTACCTCGATTTTTAACATAGTCTAATTTTGTAGTGTATCTTGTCTAGTGGTACCTAATACGCCTGGGGGACGGCAAAGGTCCTGGTTCGAATCTGATCAGGACCAGTTTTTTTTTTCAAAAACAAAATGTTCTGGATCAAAAAAACTTCGGTCTTTTAGTTGTCTACTTAGGTACTAATGAGTTGTTTTGTCGGCTTAGTTGCAACATCTAAGAATCGTTTATTTTAGCTGTAATTAATTTTCACTGAAGTCGTTTATAGCATTTTACAAATCCGGCCGAATCGAAATTTGGTTTTAATTTTACCTGCTAGATTCGTTTTTCATTTTTTTTCTCTTTTATATCAACTTAATAATTTTCGGCTTCAATAATATCAACTTAGTGGCCTCTTCTTGCGTCGTTACGACCAAAAAAGTTTTTTTGGTCGTGTGTGTTCTCTGAAGGGAAAAAAAGACAACGTTATTTTATAAGCTTAGAATTTTTTTGAATTTCTTTTCGTCATCAAGGAATTCTGCTCAGGTTTTTTCGGCTTTGTTACCGCGTGGTTATTATACTTCAAATCTGATCACCAATCCGGTGCATCTAGCGTAGGGGTAAAACAACTGCTTGAGACTGAGACGGCAAAGGCTTGCGGTTCGAATCCGATGGGCCCTTTTGCAAATTGGAGTCGTTGCGCTTTTTCAGACTATCTTTAGTCCTATTTTTTTGACGGCTTAGCTCCCGTAGCTCCATGATTCGGCTTTATTCCAAGTTCCTCTAACCCCCATGCTTGAGACGACAAAGCCCGGGAATTCGATTCCAGTTAAGAACGGTTTTTTTTTTGCGCATAAAAAATTTTTGGCTAGCTTAGATCATTGTCAAAAAAGTTCGGCAATGGGCATTCACCCCTCATTTTGGCTGCTCGGAAAATTCTGAAAGCTTTTTTAAATACTGATAGTTGTGTTTGTCGACTGTTTTTCTCAAACTTAATTTTACCTCAGAGTAATATCCGTCTCATTTTTATTCTCTACTGGTACGCTTGCGTTGTTTCTGACCTGATGCGGAGCTCCGCATCTGTGTACATGATTGTTGCTTAACCATTTTTTGAAAGTTACGCAATTTCTGCTTGTTTATATTTCGACTGGCTGAAATGGTTCTTTTTTTTATACTGGGCGATGATGAAAATTCATAATCAAATAAGTTAATCACAGAAATTGCAAATTTTTCGATATGGATAGTCTATCTGATAGGAATAAGCAGATTAGCAGAACATTTTTATTAAGTGGTCAAGGTATTTTTGTCGGTAATTTATTTCATTTCGCTGGCATATGTTGAATACGTTAATATTCGCAACAATAGGTTAAATAATATGGCGAAAGCGCTGGTTCGAAAATCTTACTTACTGTTTGCTAAAAAAAAACGTTGGTTATAGCCCGATTCACATTATTAAGCGCAAATTCCACATCTTTGGCACTTTTGGTTTTGCGGCATCGTCTATGCCTGGCACGAAAAAGGCCCTGAGTATGATTGCGGTGAGATTTTTTTCTTTTTTGCAAACTTAAGGAAGGATAGGCGGTTGGATAGACTACACGAAGGATTTTTTTAATAGTAACCACTGACTCGCTTTGCTTGCCTGAAGTTGGGCTAAATAGTTTTTCTAAGACAAGAAACAATTTGTGAGATGTTTTTCTATTTGTATTCCAATTGGAAAGGTTTTAATATGTCATAGCACTACCCATTCCCGTGAGCATTTGAGGAAACCTGATTTTGCTTGGAAAACAAAAAAGTACTAAAAAATCTGCCCGAAAAAGTTTCAATGGTAGTAACAAAAAAGTTTATTAGTTAAACAAATTACCGGTCTATCGTTTGTCTGCTTATTTTTCGGCTCACTTGCCACAATGCTGACTTTAGTTGTGACATAACCAAGATTCTTTCCTGTGATTTCTTATTTTATCACCGCTGAATTTGTTTTTTTTTGTTTTGTTTTGCTTGCTCAAAAGGTGTATTAGGCTTACATTTTGTCGGTTTTATGCTTAGTCACCTAGTATTGCCTTGTTCAAAGAGGTTTAGGGTTTCGAAACTTGAAACCTCAAATTTTTCCATTACAAATTTTTGTTTCGGCCCAACGCACGTCTACTCATTTAAAATCGACTTAGTTGCCGCACTATAATTTTCTTGTGATCGCCTATTGAACGCTGGCAATTGTTATTATTGATCAATATGGTAGTTTAAAATTGAATGTTTCATGACAAGAGTATAAACAATTTTGAATTTTGTTTTTGCACATTTTTTTTGTTTTAAATCAAGATACTGGCTTCCATCTTATTTTCTGTACGCTAGCTTACAATACTGTTTGCGTGTTATGGTAAGTAGTGCGAAGCTCCTGCTACGCCTCTGTTTTAAATGAATGCTTTCTTGCATCTGTAATTCCTGCCCTGTATCAGAATATTGTACAGTTAACCCTCGAGGAAGCTATTGCAAAGTGAGTTGCAGATATTCATTGGTCTTTAATTAGTAAATTATGACCATTTCTATTTAAGAGTCAGCAATGGCGCTCTTGACATTTACCGATTCCTTTTCTGTCCATGTTTTACGACTTTTCTTTCTTTCGGATTTTGATTGGATTACACTAGCATTGGGTTGGTAGCAAATCAAAATAAAATATGGTCGTAAACTTATTCCGTAATTTATTTTGGAACCGGATATTTTAAATCAGAAATTTCGTAGGTACTCAAATGAAAATGGTTCTCGTCTTTTTTCGTTTTTTCCCAGAGTTGTCACTTACTAGAACCTTTATAGAAAACCTTTACCTCACATGGTAGTAACAAAGATTTTTTTCTGTGATTTCATAAATTATCACCCCTGAATTTGTTTTTTTTTTCGTTTTGCTGGGCTCAAAAAGTGTATTAGGCTTACATCATTTCGGTTTTATGCTTAGTCATCTAGTATTGCCTTGTTCAAAGAGGTTTGGGGTTTCAAAACTGAAAACCTCAAATTTTTTCCTTTCAAATTTTTGTTTCGGCCCAACGCATGTCTACTCATTTAAAGTCGACTTAGTTGCCGCACTATACTTTTCTTGTGACCGCCTATTGAACGCTGGCAGTTGTTATTATTGATCAATATGGTAGTTTCAAATTGAATGTTTCAAGACAAGAGGATAAAAAATTTTGAATTTTGTTTTAGCATATTTTTTTTTGTTTTAAATCAAGATATTGGCTTCCATCTCATTTTCTGTACGCTAGCTTATAATACTGTTTGCTTGTGATGGTAAGTAGTGCGAAGCTCCTGCTACGCCTCTGTTTCAAATGAATGCTTTCTTGCATCTGTAATTCCTGCCCTGTATCAGAATATTGTACAGTTAACCCTCGAGGAAGCTGTTGCAAAGTGAGTTGCAGATAACATTCATTGGTCTTTAATTAGTAACTTATGACCATTACTATTTAAGAGTCAGCAATGGCGCTCTTGACATTTCCCGATTCCTTTTCTGTCCACTTTTCTTTCTATCGGATTTTGATTGGATTACGCTAGCATTGGGTTGGTAGCGAATCAAAAAAAATAAGATCCCAAACTTATTCAGTGTTTTTTTTTGGAACCGGATGTTTTAAAGCAGAAATTTCACAGGTATAATGAATTTGGTTTTCGTATTTTTTTGTATGCTTTTCCACGGTTCTGACTTACTAGTATCTTTATAGGACACCTTTATTTCTCTGTTGACGAACTAGGGAGGAAGTTGAAGTTTAAGTTGAGAGTATTGTGTACAATTTTATCTTAAGCTTTTAGAGTCAGATATTTTTGTAAAAACTACTAAGATTTTTAAAAATTGATTAATTCGAAATGTTTGCTGTACAAAAAATATTTGTTTTTTTTTCTGTGTTGTTTGCACTGAAATTTATTTCTGGGAAATGTGACTTTTTTGGTTCTAACCATGTTTCATTTCATTGCCTCTTTGATTGAAAAACTATGGCTCCAAGTTGGTTTTGTTTGTTACCCGCCATGTCAGGCACAGAGTTTTTTTATTGCCCCCCGTCCTACTCGATGCAGGATCAACCGCGACGGAGGAGGGATGTCATGTATTTTTTTCGTAGCCGGTCGCACTTTGAGGAGGCGGATGACACTAGGACTCCTCCAACCGTGACCGAAGTGGAATTTGAATGCACGATCCTCGTGGTAAGAGACTCTTGCCTTTCCCCACTCAGCCACAGCTGCTCCTACTAGAACATATTTTCAGACTGACAAGTTTTATTTCCACCCGCAACACGATTCGGATCAATTAGCTAGGATCCTCAAACAAAACCATACACATAGGTTTTGAGTATACTGGAACAATATTTGTATCAATTTGCTAGCCTCCTCAAATCAGACAATACACATTGTTCTGATGAGAAAAATTAACCAAAAAACAAAACAGAATTACAACCGAACTCTTCAGAAATAATTTGAGATTTATAAAATTTTTTGGTTAATTTTTTTTATCAGACCAATGTGTATTGTCTTATTTGAGAAGGCTAGCTAATTGATACAAATATTGTTCCAGTGGACTCAAAAGTTATAAATTTTTGCCTGAAATGGCGGGTAGGGGATGATTTCAAAAATAAACTTGAAACTTGGCGGGTAGGAGAAGATTTTATTAGACCAGATTTCTTTCTGAAAGACAGTTTATAATAAAGCATTTAATTAAAATTTGTCGTTGCAAAGTTATTACCTCAATTTTTAAAGTCAATTTTATCGGTTTTTTTAACACATTGTGGTGCTCATTATTGTATTTTGCATCTGAAAATGATTGGACTACTTTAATTGATTAATAGTTCATCGTTCTTTACAAAACTTGCCATACAGTTGCAAACTTTCATTTACGTTAATATCATGAATAGAACTTGAGATGTTGGAATGAATCATAGCTTTTTTTAAATACGCACAACGCATAATTTAAGTGTGTAGCCGCTGCTGAGCTGTAAATTTCTCATTTAGTTTTAGTTTATTAGTTTGATTAAAATGGCAAATTTTCATTTTTTCAATTCAATCTTTAAATCTATAGACCTCTATGTCGTTAAAATCATACCTCTAACTTTAGAATCCGCCTTGTTTATGCTGGTTAATATAGCAGCCATACCATTAGGTTTTGTTTTACAGTGGCTTTTAACCGCTCCAAGAGTCGGCGAGAATGTTCGTCATCTGTACAGCACATTTATTGGGCTATTTTATTGCGTCCTTTGTTTTCGATGGCAAGTATTTTTGTAAACCATTTGATCTGAAATATAAAAAACAACTTGTGATGTGAAATGGCGATTTGTCTGTACAAGTTGTATTGTATCATGATAACTATAAAAATTGTATTGTGAGATTTTCGATTTCTTTATTCGATAGACTACCTGAAGTATGATAAAAAAACACCGAATCCACTAAAAACGCTGAAACCGCAGAAATCCAAAGAAAATAACAAAGCTCTGGAAAAGCACTTGTTCTGTTTCAGGAATACAGTCGTCTGTCTTGTTCCAATAATTGCATTCTACCCTCTACTGAATTGCTTCTTGACCAATAGACATCTTGGAAAGTACGTGCGCAATGTGTTACGTCAGAAAAGGTCTTCAAAATTACAAAAATTGCATCTAGAAACACTTTTGACCTGCTCGGAAAAAGATGGATGCGTAAAACAGTATCAAAGCGGGATCTTTTTTTCGGTTGTGAGGAGTAGCGGATTTAGGGGAGGGGACGGGTGGACGCCTTATTGCTCTCCTTCAGGGATTCGATCCCCCTGCCACCCAAAGAACCCCTTTGTTATCTACAATCTAACGACAACCATTTTTAGCTGACCTAATCTTCAAATTTTTTAAGGCGCATTTGGCGCCAATATATAATGTTTTTGAGGGGCGAGCGCAAAAAAACGCGCGCAAAATTTTTTGTTCAAAACTTTCCAAAAGTGATTTTTGCTTGAAAACGTCATTTTTGCCTGTTTTTTAAGATAATTTGCTCAAAATAGGATCTCTGTTGTGTTTTCGGAGAACTCGGAAAACCTCCTTCGAGAAAATCATAGATGCGCGCCTGGTAAGGAGGATGCTTAATTCGTAAAAGGGCACCCGTATCCCATCCCTAAACAGGCTAGATGTTTTCAAATCTGTTTTTTGGGAAGGGGAGGTATCGGGATGGGGGGGTTTGAGTGTATAAATTTACTCATAGTTTTTGCACTGCGAAGTTCTTTGTGCGTTAATACAGTGGTATTAGTTTTTCTTTTAAATAATTTTAATGCAATCTAAAAATTGAAGCCTCACATATTGAAGCTTAACACCTGTATAGAAAGTGAAAACTGCGTACGTCAAAAATGCATAGAAAATCGTAACAAAATTTGCCTTTGCTGTTTAGAATAACTTTATTTCTCTCGTTGTTCTACCTGCTTTCACTTCACGTGTACCGCCATACATTGCACTATGGCCAGGACAAAGTGGACCATACAGTATTTCTCATGTTCTGGTTCCAGAAGATAACTTATATGGCATACAACCTCCAAGACGGTGAGTTCCAGAAGCACGACAGTCGGTTCTCTGTAAAAATGGAACAGCGCATTCACTTTAGGGGAGCGGTGGTCAAGTGGTTAGGACTCCGCCTCTCAATCGAAAGGTCGAATATTTGAGGCTCCCCATGATCCGTGCTCATTGTGCTTGCGGATGTGGCAATATTAGCCAATTAAGAAAAAGCCAGAAAACCGCATGTTATTTTTAAGCAGGGTCGCAACAGCGGTTCTCGGTGAAGGCCAGAACAGCACGAATATTGGAATTTTTCCTTGGCGATAAATCGTCTCAACAATGTTTGGTCCATTCTGTTGAGGTTTAGGGCCTTGAATCGCCCCTCCAGTCCTGGTTTCTGAATTGGTTCAAGCTATGTTTTACCTTTAGACAAAACCATAAATAGTGTCCGTATTCTTAAAACATCAAAAGTTACAAGCATAAATACCTTTTTTTCATCTAAATGGAGCAGAATTATAACATCCAATTGAAAACCTCAGCCTAAAAGACCCTATGTGGTTTATAGTTTGTGGTTTGACGACGTTTCGTAACAGGCGGCAATTCGTAATTGAGAAAAATTGGAAATAAGGCATTGGTGGGTAGCGATCGCTTGCTCCGCTGCGCTTATGTCGGCACGAGAGGAATAGTGCGCGTGAATGAGTTTGACGCTCAATCTACTGTTACAAAATTGTCGCCTTTATTGAATTGCCCACCCACGATAATTTGGCATATTCAAGTCAGCTGAACAAAATAGAGCGCAATGATGATGAAGATTTCCATCTATCGATCAGATGAAAATCATGATTTTAATTTTTCAGTTAAACGTTTCCAGGTCAAATGCCAGAGTCTGAACTTGTGGATGACTTTCACAAGAAGAAACGAATCACTCAATTGCCCTCATTTCTGACATACTGTAGTTACTTCCTCACATTTCTGGGGTTCCAAATGCTGCCCGCGTTTTGCTTCAGCGATTACGCTGACTTCATTCGCGGAACGAATTTGACAACTTTCGAAAAACAGGTGACCTATGACGATTTCATTTCACGACGCTCGAGTTTTTTCTGTTATAACCCCTGAATGTGACAATGGCTTCAATGTTTAAATGTTGCTAGAAATTGCCGAGTATGTTCATTTAGGCCAATCGTATTCGTGTATTTCATTAGGGCGAGAGGATGATTCAAACTGAAAAAAAACTGGTAGGCTCTGTTATCACAAAACTATAGTCATATAGGCAAAGTTGAAATCAGATACATTATGTAATGCGCAGTAAGTAAAACTTGAAGCTGTTGAATGCAGTTGCTTCGTATTCTTTTTTATTTCAACCAGCCCGGAGGCCTAACGCGGAGGATAATTATTTAAGTGGACAAGAGTGCATATGACCAGAGGCACCATCATCTTCGATTTTTCTCAATTTTGATTTAGCTTTGATGGACTCAAGCATTAAGAAAAATTAGCTATGCATAATGAAGATGTTTTATCTAATGCGTGTTACGTCTCAATTTAGGCTAGTTTTCTAATTTAATATTTTTTGTCATTACATATTTGTGTAATGGTTACTCCTCTAAATTTTGTTTATTTCGTTTTGTTTAGGACAAAGCTTCAAACACTGTAAAAGAGAAACACCCGTCACCTAACGTAAGTAATACATTTTTGGAACTATTTTCTATATGTGAACAAGAGTATCTGGTAGCTATGTAAGTAGCCCAAAATGATCCGACCACAGTAGTCATTGCGAAACAGTAAAAGAAAGAAAAATCATGTTTTTTCTCCAAGTTTTCTGCTATTTTTTTTTGGTTAAAAAGACCTGAATTTAGTAAGAGCTGAGTAACTGCAACTAGTTCAACAGTCGAGTTTAATTTTCAGATTTCCCAGCAAAATGAAAAATCAACTGCAAATTGAGTTTCTGCTAAAGGGTTCATTTTTTATCAAGAAACTGTCAATCTTAAAGTTAAAAAGAAATTTAAGAGTGGTATATCTTTTCGAAAATTGAATCAGTCTTCATTTTCGGTTTTCTTGTTCATTGACACTTGTTTAACTGTCTGTTGGCTATGATCGTATTCTTTTAACATTTCTCGGTATTTGCTATCGTAAAGTTTTTACCAGGCTACTGCGAAGGGCTGTGATGAGGTTAGGCTGATAACTAAAACAGTACCACTAATAATCATCGGAATGGGTCGAATGATATAGCATAAAAAAGCCCTTTCAGACGTGATTCGAACGATTTTCATGTTTTTCAAAAAGTTGTTAAAATGTCGAGAAAGAGTGGTTTCAGTTTCTGAGTTCAGTTTAATTTCGATCGAGTAATGCGACCTAGTAACAATCTATATATGAAAAAATATATTTTTTTGGCTTTTAGGAAATTTAATTTTAAAACTAAATTTTATCAAACACAAATAAGTTTTAGACGTTTCATTAGCTCTTCTTTGGCACTAAAGGTTAAAAACTTTTGGGCGAAAAATCAGAAAAAAAAAATTAAAAACTTTAACTGAAGTTTTTTTTTTTTTCATTAATTTGGTTATTCGATTTTCGAAGACAAAAGTTGTCCATTTCGGAACAAATTTTCTACGCATTTGATTAGATTTCTGATCACCCTACGCTTTAAAAAAGACATTTATTTGAAGGGAAAAAAAGAAAAAATCTCTTGTACTTTTATCACGAATGTGGCTGGAACACTCTGTGCTAGTTGCACTGCAACTGGCTATCATTGTTTTTCTTTACATTTGAAAAACAAATCCGTGAAAAATCAAGTACTACAAATAATCATCACAAGGTCAAAGGATAGATCATACTGAAGCCCTTTTAATTGTTAGTTGAAAGACATTAAAAGCTTTTGAAAACAACAAGTGTTAACAAAAACCGACTTGAAATCTTATTTCGAGCGAATTTTGCGAGAAATTATGGCAAATGGGAATTATAGTTGAACGTAATTCTACTCTAATTTCAAGGTTATTAAGAGTCAATGAACGTAGTTCAGACTCCTAAATGGGTCGCGATGATTTTTTGTTTATTTTGTTTTTTCAGGAAAAGTCTTTCTTTGTTCAGGCTCAATTATACTTTTTTCACGATTTGACCTTGTATTTTTTTTGTTTCAGTTCGTGTCCTTTGTAGAAAGAAAGGCAAACTCCACATCGAACTCGAACAGCGAAAGTTAAAAGGTCACGAAAAACGTGATCGACTTTTAGTTTCGAAGGTTGAATATTATTTTCAGATTAACCAAAAAAATTTTAAAAAAATTAGCTTTTGATCCAGTTTTCTCAAATTGGGTTACTTCTATCAAAAAAATGACAATCATAAATGTCTCTGGAAATTTATAAATGGTCCTGGAAGTAAAAAACACGCCTGGTTCTTCAAATTTCCCTTTTTCAAAAAAAAATTGTCGTTCTTATATATGCCTGCTTAACTTTTTTCTGCTCATATGCTAAATCTAGAAATTGTTTGTTTTCGCTTTAAACGATTCTTAATTTTTAGTTATTTTTAATTGTTTCGCATTTAAAAAGTCTGTCTGAATCGAAATTTGATTTTTACATTGGTTTAAGGTTAAAAGGTTAATGACCGTTGGTTAATGACCGAAAAAAGTTTTTTATGTCGATTACGCTCTCGTCTTAGTTTCCGAATTCTGTTGAATTCAGTACATGTATGGGTTTCGTGGATAATATTTGGGCAGTACATGTAATTTTTCCGATATGATTTTGCCGAACAAATTTGGTTGTTTTTCAGCTGATTAGCTGTCGGCTTTAATTATGCCAGCTTTTTCACCTAATATTTTGTTTCCGACAAGTTACCGATATTTTTAAGAGATTGATAAGATTTTGGTAGCAATTTTAAATTTTCGAATGCTCAGTTTCAACCCCATAAATTCAAACAAAAATAAATGGTTTTTTTAAAATTCTGTCTTCAACATTAGCAACGTTCGAAGTCCCTTTCGATAGTTTTTAAGTTTCTTGCTGTTTTATTTCTATAATCTCTTGCTGTTTTAATCCTAGCTCAGCTTCGCCTCTGTGTTCTGCTTTTGTTTTATGTTAATCTATTTTAGTGGATGGCGCTGACAACTATACCTTTATCTATTATCTACTTCTGCACTGTTTTGATGCTCAGCCGACATTTTCCTATCCAACGTATGATAGGTGAGCAAACTGTTTCGCTCTTCCATTTAAAAGGTATTTCATTTTAAAAAATTAATTTCCGGCCTCATCAATAATGAAAATCATAACGTTAGTTGAAGTCGCAGAGCTACTACTCAAGTTTGATACAATTTTGGAAGTCTAGCTCCACGCTCTTCTCATTGTTTTTTCAAAAAAACTTCGTTTTAAATTTTAACAGCCTTGTTTTCAAAAAAAGTTTTACTAAAAGAAATATAACTTTTTTCTATTATGTTTTAGCATTGTGTATTTTTTGATCCTCGTTCTGAGCAGCTCCATTTAAATGAGACGTATCACTTTTCTTTACTTCAAAAAATTGAATTGCTTATATTGATTCTTTCGATTTTTTTGTGTACGTTTTGACAGAATCTCCTTCATAAAAATTAGTTCAGCTATAATAAATTGATCAATTTTAAACTAATTTAAGCAAACAATAATAATAATTGATCAAATTTAAACTAATTTTAATCGTGCTACAGATTTTTTGCATGCTATCAAGTCATAGAAAAATTTGCACCATTTCCCAAACTCTATATTTTCCTGAACTCTCCAAAACTCTTCCGCAAGAGGTATATCCTGCTTTAGTGATTTGCTTAAAGTAATTGAGTGATTAGTTTCGGATAGGTAGTGGCAGCTTTTTCACTTGATTTGTGTTCCGTTTAGACGAGAGTTACATCACGAGCACTTCATTCTTGTACAAAGTTGGCTACTGTTGGATTGCGATGTTCCTTTTCCGACTGCGCTATTACTTCACGTGGAAGTTAGCCGAGAGCAGCTGCTATGCTTCGGGACTTGGGTTCTCAGGGTGGACTGAGGAAGGAAAGGAGAAATGGGAACTAGTGCGAAATGGAGATATTACTCGAGTTGAGGCAAGTCAAATTTGGCTGAACTACACATAAATATGAAGTGCTACGTTCTGAATCTAGTGAGCCTTTGAATGAGCGAAGTTTTTGCTCTCAAAATAAAGGGTTGGTATCGTAACAAGTGCAGATCAATGGTATATGCTATTTAAACGACAATCTAATGCTACAAAGCAAGATATGTCTGGGTCTTAATTCCACACGCTTGCGAGCGCATGCTTTCACCAAAGTCGCACTAGTCGCGTCTGCACCAAAGTTGCATCTTTTCCAGTAAAGCTTGCCAGTATGTGGCAAGTGTATCCTGTTCAAAAATCTTGAAATTGCTTTTGTTGATACTATGCTGGATGAGACGCATATCACTTCACATTGCCTGTATGGGAGCGGAACAATTTTTTGTAAAATGTACTTTTTGGACCACAATTTAATCAGTTGTTTAATTTTGTATTAGTTGAGTGGTTTCAGTTTATTTTTGTTCCAATCATTGAAAAGGTTAGAAACTTTTGTCTTCGGGTGTGTTTCAGTTTTTGTTCAGACCATTGAAAATGGGAGGAACTTCGTAGTCGGGTAATTGTTTTTTTTTGTTTTCCGCGCAAAATCAGGTACGAAAAATACTCATCGGAATGGGGTGAGTGATATATCTCAAACTAAAGCCCTCTTAGTCGTGATTCCATCGACATTTAAAAATTTAACAACATTTTTGTGTCCTGGCCTTAATTTCTAGCGAGTAAAGCGATCGAGTAAAATTGTTCGTTATGAAAATTAATCGTTTCGGCTAAGAGCCTGGATTTTACTAGGTTTTGCTGTAACAAGTTCTGATTGATTCATTTAGCGCTTCCTTGGCCGAAAGATTTTTCGGAAAAAAATCAAATTATGTGCAACTTATAGTCTTTTTTTGCCTTTTTGGCTTGTTATTAAGTTTTTGAAGATCACTGTAGTTGATTATGCATAGTTTACTAAGTATGCACGCATTTGTATAGTTATTTCAACACGCCACGCATAAGAAACGACACTAATTCGAAGAAAAAAGAAAAAACTCTGTTTCGTAGTTTTCTATGAACGTGGTTGGAACATTCTGTGATACTTGCACAACAACCGGCTATCCTGTTTTTTTTCTGATTTTTTGTTTTCCACGCATAATCAGGTATCATAAATGTTCATCGGAAAGGGTCGACATTTCAGATTGAAGCCTTTCCAGACAGGACTTAAATGACATCTAAAAAACGTTCAAAACTGTTCCAGTGTCGAGAAAAAACTGATTTGAATTTTAGAGTTTTAGTCTACTTTCGATGGAATAAAACTCACTCGTAGTAAATTACTCTCTCAAATCAGGCAACGTTTTCATTAAAGCATTAAAATTACTCTCTCAAATCAGGCAACGTTTTCATTAAAGCATTAGTTTTGCTCCGGTAAAACCAGTATTGGAAGCTTCATTTTGCTCTTCTTCTGTGATACAAAACGCTTCAAAAAGTCAAAAATTGTTTGCAAAATAGTCCGAAAGTTTTCAGAAATATTTTTCATATTTTTTTCAATAATTTTTTTTTCTTTATGGTTCAGTTCTCGTAAACAAATGTTGTGGATTGTGTCTAATTCACTAATGTTACACATTTGCTTAGTTTCCTCATAACACCACGTACAAAAACTATACTAATTTTAAAAAATCTTGATTTCTATTTTTTTTCTTATTAGTGAGTGTCGTGAAACATTCTGTGGTACTTGCACAGCAACCGGCTATCCTTGTTACTTTCGCTTGTGTCTGCAGAATGCATTTTTTCCTCCATGTTAGACTGTGTTTTCTAGCTATATCCTCTTTTTGAAAGCGCATTTTTGCTGTCTGATATGTAAAAATTGATTTATATTTTGATATTTTATAAATTTATATTTTATAAATTGATTTTTCTGGTCATTTTTCATGTCAATTATTGTTCCTGTTAATCTTCAGTGGAGATTTGTTTTGGTTTCCGCAATGATTTTACTGTCCATTTCTTAGTTTTGAATTAAATTAGTTTAGAATTAACTATGAGTTAACTATGAACTATGAGTTAGTTCAGAAGTTCAGTTGTTTTCAGCAGTTCAAAATCATTTTCATCTAACAATTTAGTAATTACAGTGCCGGATCTAGGATCTTCTCGAGAGGGGCGGGTTTTCAGAAAATTTTTGAAAATTTTGTCGACCTTTTTTCAGGTTGGTCGGCGAGGGGGTCGAATTTAGGCTGGTCGATGAGGTTGGTCGGTGAAATGGTTTTTTTGATAGGATTAAAAATCAAAAATAAATTCGCAATTATTTGCATGCCAATCTTATCACTTCCCAGCGTCTAGGTATTGAAAAAGAAGGGTATAAATGACAGGGTTTTAAATACAGGCTTCTATTTTTTGTAGTTTTGTACCAGCTGGAAGGAGTTCTGGGACAGTTGGAACAATATGACTGGCAGTTGGCTTCGGTTCATCTGCTACTCCAGAATTGAAGACAAAACGCAGGCCACTGCACTCACTTTCCTGTTGTCCAGTGTCTGGCATGGATTCCATCCCGGATACTTTGTACTGTTTGCTCATAGCTACATTCTGGTCCTACTGGGAAGAAAGGTAGCTAGAGTTCCACATAAACAGACTACATTTTTTAAATTGTTTTTTCAGTTAGTCAGAAAGTTATTTACCAGAACAGTAAATCAAACCAGATTTTCTGCTTACTATTTTTTTTTTCAAGTGATATTTTCTATATTTTTTTTAAACATGGATGATCATTTTCTGGTTATATTTTAAGGCTCTTCTAAGCTGGAAGAACTTCAAGGCTCTTCCTAATTTCTTCCTAAGTTTTTCTTCCTAATTTAACTGTCGTTTTTTTGAGAATAATAATTGTATCGATTCTTATTAAACAGAACTGAGTCTTGTGGTCATGTGACTGCAATTTTTAGCATAATTATGCTGTTTCGGCTAACTCACGAACAGCTCTCATGTCTGGTTAAACTATTCATCGATTTACTGGGTTATATTTTTTCAAAAAAAGGAAAAGCAAGTTGAAAAAAAAATGTTTATAAATGATTAAGAATCGATTTTTATCCACGAAACTGCAGTGCGGGTGGTTAACTGTCAGTAATTTTTTGTCAGTTTTTTTCTGTCACTTAGCTGTGTTTCAGTTTCGTCATTCGGTTAGGCCTTTTTTCCAAGGCACTCTTGCGAAAAAGAGACTCTACAATATACTTGGCTGCATTGCGTTTCAACTGACAATCAGCTACACTTTCATTGGTTTGGAAACCCTGGAATTCGCCAAAACGTTTACCATATACAGGTATAATATCGATGAGAAAAATGGGGAATTTGAATTTTTTGCTGAATTTATAAAAAATTACTATTTTTTGCTGTAAGTTTAGTGGGACGCACTCAATATCTGACAAATTGTATTGTATGAGTGGTTTTAAAGTGGTTCGCAAAAACAAGGTTGAAGAGGTTCACAAGATTGTAGACTAATTTGAGTTTTGTAAAATTACACCTGAAGAAAACGAAACTGAACTTATGATTTCTGTAGGTCAATGAACTTCTACGTCACTACTATCATTATCGTTCTCTTCGGTGCTTTACCCGAAGACGAATTGGATTCATCAAGGTCACACTCAAAACCGGAAGAAGAGAAAGGAACTGTTGCCAGAGATCAAAAAACGAAAACTATGAGCTATGAGAAAACGAAGTAGTTGTATTTTTGGGGGTCTTCTTAAAAACCACCGCCCTTCCCCTCCCCTTCGTTGCCTAGGAAAGAATCCCTAGCCCTATAACGAATTGATTTGACATTTATAAACAATTTTTTTTCTAACGTATAACAAATTATTCATTTTTGCGATAGTTTTAATTATAATTCAATTGGTCTCCAACGTGTCTTCCCTAGTTGATCAAGAGAGGTTATCTTGCAAGATCTTGTAGGAATCTTGCAAGATTCTTGTAAAGAGGACGCATCTCTTTAAAAGATCTTGCAAGATTCTTGCAAGGTCTTGCAAGATAACTTCCTTTAAAGATAACCTAATTTCGAGCAAAATTAAAAAAAAAACTTTACACAAGAAGACAAACTATAGCGTTTTGTTGGAAGGAAGCAATACCAGTAACACGTAGAAACATTGCAATACTCGAACAAATCAACAACAAAATAAAAAGAAAAAAATAACCAATTATTATGATAATCAAAATTATTTATCGGAGTTATGTGAACACGACATACAAAGTATCTCAAGCTAATTGACTCGATTCATCAAAATTTTAACAAAAATAACAAAAAATTTAAATTGAAAATTGAAACAAAAAAATGAAAAAATTGAAAATTGTAAAACTAGATCAAACATTTCAAAAAAATCAAAAAAAAATTGTTTTGAAAATTTTAACTTGAAATGCATTAATTATAACGAAATTCTGAAACTATTTACAAAATGAAAAATGAGCATATATATGAATATGTTTGAAATTTGTTAAGTCTAAATTTCTTATCTAAAATAAAACGTAGAATAATGTGTGACCGTAGTCAAATTGGATCTTCGTAATTTTTTCTGTTGCTCAGAATAAAGTTTTGTGAAAAAAATTCATAGTTGGTTATTCTGTAAGAATCTTGCAAGATAACTTCACTCTTACAACTTCTTGTAAGGTAACCTCCATCTTGAAAGATCTTGCAAGATAACCCTCATTTACAAGAATTTTGCAAGATAACCCTCTTTAATTGACTAGGGTAGTTTTTATTGAAGTGAAGCAGGATTTGGAGATTGGAGTATTTGAAAAACAAGCAAAGAACATTACGAGGCCAAACTGTTCATTCTCTGCCTTGTAAGCAGATTCCAAAACACGGCTCTGACGAATATGAACGAAAAAATAGAATAAAATTGACGATAGTTTGTTGCTGTGCCAGCAGCACAAAAAACTACGACTAAAAATGTGAAAACAAGTATACTTTTTTAAAATCTTATAGTTTTTCTCCATGTAGTATCTGAAAAATTCCTAGAACTGCCTTTGTTGATAATAAAACTACATTGGAATGCTTTTTCTAAATGCAGTTTTTTCTACTAGAGAAACAAAAGGTACTCAAAATCTAAAACAATGTTCTCAATTGTTTCAATTTTGCTGCAGAAAAAGTGTTTGAATTTATTTTCTAGTCCCAAACCGCTCAAAAACAATCAAAATTTTTCTTGAGTAAAACTATGTTTTTCCGGCTGAAACAAAAGCTAATATCCCCATTTTGAACCTATTTGTTTGCTTTATCCGCTCAAAAAAAGATTAGAAATAAAAAAAATCAAATCGGGATGCCTCGGCACTGAAAAGTTGAGTATCGATCGAATGGCACCAGGAGAGCTTCAGGTTGATATATAACTCGACATTGCTCAATGAGTATTGAGACTAGACCTTGTTCGCTTACTTTTTAAAAGCCTTTTTCCACGCTTGCAACAGAAAGACCAAAATGATAATTATTGGTTTCATACTTCCTTTTTGCTCCAGTTGGGAGAATATTCGACTTCCAATCATATCGGTTTACATTTAATGCCTTGAATGACTATTTTTTAGGCTGGTGGTAAATTTATTACCAACTACAATTTGGTAAAGCTTTTTTGTAAATTTCAAATCGAAGTTTGACTTCAGATTCAAAAAGGAAATAAAATCAAGAACGAAAAAGAATTGAGCCTGATCTATTTTCAAATTGACAGACCAAGTTTACAGACCAAGAATATGTTTTTTTTATATTCAACAGTACAAAAGCGTTGCCTACTAAAATTTTCAGCGTTGCCTACTAAAATTTAAAAGTTGTTTTCTATATTTAAAATTTTTGTCGCGATTGGAAGCTAGGTTTCTAAAGATATTTAAGGTTGGTGCACAATTTTTAATGGAGAATCATTTTCCAAATAGTTTCTTGTAAGGTCTAGGCTAGACTGAGTATCAATTTGGCGGAAAGCCTGCCAAGATTTTGGAATATTTTCTCACCACTTTTAAAGTGGGGAAAAATTATAGCGGAATCTGTGTTTTTTAGAACATTTTTTAACATAATCAAAAAATTTCTAAAGTTCTCTAAAGTATTACAATATCAGCTTTATGATTCCAAGAAAACACGCAAAAAATCATTCAGTGTCAATAAAATAGATCTTATTTTTTTTTAATTTTCAAACCCGATCTCTTGATTGAAGATGATTACACTGCTTTTCAGCCCAAAATAGGGATGTAAACTCTATTGGTTAGGTTAAAAAAATGCAACTTATCCTTGCAAAAATCTTTTAGCTGATTCAGGCGAATTGGATTTTTTTTTGATGTTTCACTTAACTAAGAGAGTTCGGACCTGTCGCTGTTTGTGGTCCGTCTTCAGGATAATTCATTAATAGCACAAAACATAGAAAGAATCCTGTCTGGAAGAAAGCTTCGATCGGACCGAAAAAAAAAGAAAAAAGTTAGTTTAGGCAACCCACTTTAAAAAATGGAAAGTGATTAGAAACAATTATTTTTTTTGTTTGTGTGCGCGTGTATGTGTGTATGTGTGAGTGTGTGTGTGCATTTCCAAAATAAATGGAGATAAAAAAAATTGGTTGCAGAGGACATATGCTCACTTTTTGTCTGATTCGAGCTGTTTTTTTTGCGAGCTTTGATTCTTAATTAGTTTTTGCAGCCTTAACTTTTGGCTCATTGTTAATCCAAGAAAACAATGTTAGGAAGAATAAGCGACTGCTGTGAAAGTAGCTAAGAAGGTTGCCACAAATCTCAGCTAAGTAAAATTTCGAGAAAAAAAAATCTTTTAAAACTACAAGGGAAAAAAAGTTTTTTTTTCTATATAGTGTGACAAAAGAATATGACCTGAAAGTATGATTCAGGCATATTGCCTGAATTATAAATGAAGAAAAAATTGATCTAGAAAAACAAAGAAAAATCACTGAAAAAAAAACAAAAAAAAAACATCAAACTTTGTTTCGAACTTTTTGCAGAAATGTTTTTGGTTTTTTGAAAGGTTTGATTCCCAACATGGCAATAAAAATCCCAGAAACTAATTTTTCTCGAGTAAAATTTAGACAAAAAATTGCTCGAATTTAGACAAAAAATTAAAAATTTCAAAACTGCTTATTTTCGACAGTGGGAAATTTTTTCAAAATTTTTAAATATTGATCGGATGAAGACTGAAAGGGCTTTAAAATGATATATCATTCAAATTTTTCCAAATATTATTTGTTTTAGCTGATTTTGCGTGTAAAACAAACAAAAACGAAAAAAAAATAAACACTCCCGATTATAAAAAATAATTTTCCTCCATTTTTCAAATGGTTAGAACAATCAGAATTGTCTCGCCCGCAGGCAAATTTGCAAACAACGGATTTTTTCAAACGTTTGTCTTTTTCAAGCATGGCATTGCGTGTTGGAGAGGAAACTAAAATGTTAACTTATAAAAGTTTGCCGAGGGCTTGATTAATGATTTAAGAAATGTAGCTGCTTTTGCTTTGATTTAGTCAATATGAGGAACTGTTCTTTCACTAAAATTTCTAAACAAAATTCGAAACTGTTTTTCAACACACTTTAGACAAAATTGATCCTTAAAATAAAAGAAAATGTTAAATCGCTAACTTAAATAGAAATGAAAACGCTCATCACTGCTTTGAAAAACTATTCGGAAACTAATGTTGCATAAGACACTCAATTGGAAGGGCTTCATTATTTTTTATCATTCGGTTCAATCTGATGTTTGTGCTACCTGATTTGACAAAAAAACGACCACGAACGCAGTGTTTGTTCCGTTCTCACTTTCAGTGGTCAGAATTATAAAAAAAAATGGCGCATGGGGCCCAGCAATCAGGATTGCGGGTTCAACTCGCGTGAGTATGCAATTTTCAATCAAGCTCTTGTTAGATAGCCACAGCTTTTATTACGAGGCCAAACTGTTCTCTAGACGCACCATTAGGTGTGTTTAGTCTTCTAAAATCCAGAAACAGGCCCTAAAACATGATCCAAAAGTGAAAGAAATCCATTTACCAAATTTTTACAGAAACCGCGCAGAAATGCTTTATGATGTAAAGATTTTTGGCTCATTAATTTTTTCGCGGGATCCGCAACGAACAATACAGCAAGTTGTTGCGGATTCCTTCGTTAGCGGAGTCCGCAATTTTTGTTATTGGTTTCCGCAATTGCAACCGAAAATCACCATTGGTAGGCGGATTTTGCAAATGCAGGCTAATTACGCAATTTTATTTATTACACACAAATAATATGATTCATTCAAGGATTCGCCGAAATTTTCTGGACTCGAGATGTACACAAGCTACTTTTAGGGTTTTAGAATCAAATGTATGTGCTAGTTATTTCATGCATGGATTCCGCCAATTCCTCAAGCACATTCCGCATTTTGTGGAACAAAAGTTGGCGTGTTGCGGACTCCACGACAGCGAGGCTCACATTTGTTGCCGAGTCTGCTTCAGCCACAACAGTACAATTTGGATTCTAATGCGTTTCCTTCGTTAGCGGAGTCCGCAATTTTTGTTATTGGTTTCCGCAATTGCAACCGAAAATCGCCATTGGTAGGCGGATTTTGCAAATGCAGGCTAGTTACGCAATTTTATTTATTACACACAAATAATATGATTCATTCAAGGATTCGCCGAAATTTTCTGGACTCGAGATGTACACAAGCTACTTTTAGGGTTTTAGAATCAAATGTATGTGCTAGTTATTTCATGCATGGATTCCGCCAATTCTTCAAGCACATTCCGCATTTTGTGGAACAAAAGTTGGCGTGTTGCGGATTCCACGACAGCGAGGCTCACATTTGTTGCCGAGTCTGCTTCAGCCACAACAGTACAATTTGGATTCGTAGTGTTAATAATTTTAAATAATTAACCTGCGGTTTAGACATCTGGCTGGTTAACTAAAAAAACTAAATGTAGTTTAAATAATGAAAAAATTGACCGTTAAATAATTGAATGCGTAACGCACATGCATGGACGGTAGATTTCAAAAAAAAATAGAAAACCTCTTTCAAAATAAAACGAACAAATTATATACGGTTTTTATCTTCAACCCGTGTCTGTACAAAACAGTCCCATACAAAACAATCCAAAACAAAACAGTCCGGAAAACTATGAAGATGAACGAAAAAACAGTCCGATACAAAACAGTCCGAAAACCAGTCCCAAGTAACATTGGTTTTTTGCTGTTTATGTGGCCGCAGTCTTACGTAAATTTTCTCAGACTACATTTAATTCATTGAGAAGCTAATGGGCGAAGATGTTGTCCCAATCAAAATTGAGCGATTTACTCAAATCGTACATCTTTTATGTAGGTTACAAATGAAATTTCGAATTGCCTTGACTGAAATATCGACATGCAACATATGAGTTAAGCCAATAGCGCTCTGCTTTTTATTGATCAACTAACTGTCTTAGAAGGATAATTTTATCTTAAACATGAAACTTCTGCTAATTATTAAGAGTAATGAACGTAGTGAAAGCTCTTATGTAGGTCTTGCTGATTTTCGTTTTCAGGAAAGCCTTAAGAGTCTCTGATAACTACAGACGTGCCTTCATACATATTGATGCATTCAAGAATGCACTTATGTATATATGCACTTTTTGAGCTCAACTGAAACTCATCTGCTGAATGTGACGCAAATAGCACTCTCCAAAAACCAACGTGGAACTCGCGCAAAAACCAACGTGGAAATGTCAGTGAAACCCATTTCTGGATCAGTGATTTTAGACTTGTGGATCATGGTGTCTTGTCTGGTGGCGAATTGATGTTAAATTTGATCTTTTTCGTTGGACCAACTTTCGTTGTATCGAATATCTAAATCGGTACGTAATTTTCTAATGCGTTTGCAAATGTTGTCTGGCGGTTGCTTACCGATTTCCTGATCGGCTCGACGGGACTTTTGAGGGCGTGCACTTTTGTTTTAGCCGTTTCGGCGACGGTGCAGAGTTTTCCGACGTTGTTGAAGACTGTACTTCGTCGTCTTCTCCGCTGGATGAGATTTTCTCAGGGGTTCTCGTTGATTTGGTGGTAGGTTTTTGCGGCTTTTGGAGGCTCATTGCACGTGTGGGTTGCGTTTTGTGGGTAGGACCGCCGCGCATTCTTTTTCCTGTGGGCTTTGCCCTTCTCTTCATTGGACTGCTCTCCTGTTCAGCGGCCTGCCCTTTTCTGGTTAGTCGCTTAGGGAGACCCGTTGCTTCATCTTCCTTGAACATCGGGTGTTGTGGGGCGTTGGGCTGCTTGATGTCTAAAAACGTAGACAAGGTCCGGATCTCTTAATCTATTGCTCGTCTGGTTTTCACTTCTGGTTTTTGATGTTTTTGTCTTGATGAGGGTGTTGGGTCCGCCGGTTGAAGAGTTGGAGGTTGTGTCGGGCGTCGTTTCATCGCGACTTCGTTTTCTGACCATCTCTGCGGATCGTGCATGATTTCTGCTGATATTGGTGGTTGTGTGAGGCTTTTTTCATCTAAACATGCGTGTTTTGCATTTTCTCAGTTAAATTGTTGGGAGAAGTACTTATCGCTAAGTTTGAAAGAGAAGTATTTGGTTTTCTACCCATGTGTACTTCGATTGGTGAGTTTTTTGTCATTGCCAGAGGCGTGATTCATTGTGTTTTTTATAATGTCGGCTGAGGCTAGTTTATACGGTGTGTTGATTTGATCTATGTTGAAAATACAATGTAGCTTTTTATATAAATTTACAAAAAAACTGCGCTTCTTCAAAACTTAAAAATTTTTGGTTTAAGGCGCCGAAAATTTAATTCGTTTTGAAGATTGGTTGGACGAAATAATTAAAATGCACCAAAAGCGGACCCTTTGGGTAGAAAGTGGTCAAATATTTGAAAACCCTCTCATCAATCCGCACTGCACCAAAGGTCATTCAACGTGTACATGTTAAAACTTCGGCTTTCAATACTAGAACAGTAAACTTGATTGTAACTACTTGAATTAGCAAGCTAGTTATATTATTAAAATACAACATTTGTACTTTAACCATGTTAATGTAAATGTGACGTTCCAGGTCCAAAAAAGAAAGAGTTTTAATTGTTAATGAGCATATGATAGTTCAAAAACTTTCAACTGCAGCACGCTGAATCTTCAAGCATTAAATTTATTAAACTAGAAAGCTTGGTAATCTACGACCAAAAAAAATCAGGTGAAAATGACGAGCGAAGTTGTTCAATCTATTTTTCAAAGACCTACGACTATTTTTGATAGAATCGATGAGATTGCTATAGAATGGTTACAACTGCCACTGGACCAGGCCTTGTATTTCGTAAATAATTTCTTGTCCATTCCGTTGGCGTTTGTTTTACAATGGATATTACCAGCCTCGAGGGTGGGTGAAAACGTGCGGCATTTATACTCTTTCCTAATTGGCTTGCTCTTCTGTGTAATTAGTTTTCGATGGTAAGTTTCTTTTAAAAAAGCAATAAAAAATAGTTCTTTTTTGCATTTTAGATCGCATCTCTGAGCAAACACCGTTTACTATTTTTAGCTCATAAAACCAAATCCTCTTATATTTCAAAAGAACCAATGAATTTTCAGGGTCATACGTCAACCGTATTTCAATAGAATAATCGATATTTTGATCCAGTTTCAGAGTTTTGTTAAAGCTGAAAAAATCCATTTGGTTGATCTAACAACAGATCGACAAAAATTTTAAAGCTATCGAAAATCAGCCTCCTCCGTTCGCAAAAATTGTAAAAATCCTAGCTTTGCCCCTGAAACCCAAGATTCGCCCGTAAACGAGTAAATCCATCATGAGAAAATTTGAGAATGAGTAGAATATCTTTATTTTTAAGGAACGTGTTGAATGTTGTCATCCCGACTGTGGTCTCATATCCGCTCATGAAGTATTACGTCAGAGCTGACTCACTCGGAAGGTACATTCAAAAAATCCTTTATTTTTTTGTTTTCATACTCGGTTTTTTGTTGTGAGTATCAAAATAATCGGGGAATAGTATTTTGAATGGACTTTTGACTATATAAGATGTCTAATGATGGCATAGGCTCTGCATTCTAACAAAGATCTCAATTATTTGTTCTTGAGTATTTCAAGCAAAAAAGTTTCATTTTTCATGCAATTCGTTTTGTTTATTGCAATCTGGCCACGTTTAATTTATTTTATTATCCATGATTATTTGTGTTCCGATTTCATAGCCATTGAGAAAAGTCCGCCGAACTAATTTTAGTGAAAACAAAAAACGGTTTTTTAAAAAATAGCTTGCACTACGACTTTCATTTATTGTATCGAAAAAGAAATCGGCACTTTGTAATATCGATCAGATTTTCAAAAACAGAGGTGAAAAACAGATGTTAAAAAGCTAAAACTGCGAGTTTACATTTCTTAGAGTATTGTCCAGATTTTGACAGTAATCTCTCAACGTCTAACTGGAAGCGAAACTTTTTCTCATAGATTTCCGAAATTTACAAATACTTCGACTGAATAGCGAGAAAAAACGGATCAATAAGAATAAAAGTTGCTCAATAAATTGAAGAAAAAAAAATTCTGATTCAAATTAGCCAATTTTTGAGTTTCTTTTGTCACAGGCAGAATAAAAAAAATCGATCAAAAGTGAATTTTGACAAAGTTTCAAAACAAATCAGCTTACCGAAAAGTTCGAGAGGCTGAATTTTAAGTGAAACTGAGTAGTGAGGATGTATTTGGTTATTTGGTCGCTTAGAGTTTGTGTCAACTGCTTTTTTAAATTGAGTATTCAGCTACACCATTTATTCTTTGCAGAACTACTGCAGCCATCGCTATGATCTACCTAGCTGGGCATCATATCTACAGACTGACACTTGTTTATGGCATTGATTTCATGGACTGCTCTGTCGTGCTCATGATATGGACTCAGAAAATCACTCTTCTGGCGTGGAGTATCAGAGATGGTGAGTGAAGTTTAAAAAAAACCTAAGATTGTTAGAGTTTTTCCAATAGCCTTTCGCTCGCAATCAAAGCTGAATTTTGACATGCTCAATTTTTTAAAATCCAAAACTAAGTACTGGTTACTAATTATAATAATCATATTAGATTAAATTCAAGCACTTCCATTAAGGGTAGTAATAAATTTACTTTGTGGGCAGAAGAATATTTTTTTGTTTTAGAGGAAATTAGGATGATAGTTTAGAATATTGTTAAACTTTTTTCTTAGCCTGACAACAGTTGACTCATTTGAGTGTTTGTGTGCTCTTGTTTGTAGTCTTCTTGCTGTACTGCTCATCGCTGAAAATTGTTCACTTCATTTTCCGTATTGAACTTGTTGAAACTTTAAATAGGGTTTCCACATCTGAGAACTTAGGACACTGTTTTCACTAGTGCAAACAAATGAAACTCCATCGCAAGAAAACAACTCATTTTCAATCTTTGACTTTGGATTGAATAGTATTTACGTGCTCTTAAGATAAATTCCGAACAAGCGCTTCACTTTTTGAATTAAGAGCTCAACTTTCATCTTATTTGTGGACGCGTAAGCCAAAACGCCATACTATAAAATACGTTGCCTTAAGTTTTGTAAGTTCCTACAAGTTACATGGTCGAAAAAAACTCTCTTAACCAATAAAAAACTCCACAAAATCTTGTGTGTTTTTACCGAGAAAAGCATTGTGTTCATCGAAGTTCAGCTGTTATTCCATATGAATTGCAAGGTATCGAAAAAAATATTTTCGCTCAAGTGGCTTATCATTCAAATTAACAGCTTGGAGATTCAATTTTTTCCTGTTTGATTTGCCGAAAATTACGGTTTTTATTTCATCCGCATTTAGTTTAAGCCTTGTTTTGTTTCAACCGTTGTGTTGTTTTGTTCAAAAAAGTTTGTTGTTTAGCATTTAACAACTTTCCTCCGGGTACAAGTCCTAATTACAGTGTCGTTTTCGTATAATAAAGATTTTGTGTTTTCTTGGTCTGAGTCGATATCATTAAAGACAATTATGAAAAGCAGTGGACCACGAAAATATTTTTGAGGAACACCGAAACGAGTCTCTCTTAGCATTGAGTTTGCTTGTTTAGTGGCTACATACTGCTTCCTACGATTCAAAGAAAACTCTGATAACTAACCAATTGGTGCTATTAGTTCATATGACTCGCATTTTTTCAACAGGAACAAGTGGTGTACTGTATCGAATGCCTTTTTCGAATCTATGAAGATGCATTGCCTCAGTTTTGTTTGTTTAAGAAAATTTCTTACTTTCATCAGCGAAACAATTGCGTCAACTGTTCGACGACATGAACAAAAACAAAAACAATTTTTCTTAAGTAAGTCAAATTTATTGAAAACTGAAATCGGGCGGTTGTAAGTTTAATCGATCTGCCTGATTTCCTTCTTTAAAAACTGAAATCAATTTAGCCACTTTGAGGCAATTTGTAAAAATGGCACTATCATGGTAATGCATCATAATAAGCCCCTTTTAATTTTTTAGAAAGTAATTATTCAAACTATAAAATTTTCCTTCGATTGATTCTAACACTTTGAAAACTTCCCGTTGGCCAGTTGGCATCAGATATTTCGATAAAATGGATTTATGTACTGTTCCAGAGTTGACAACCTATCATTAAACGTTCTGGCCAGTTTTTTGCCAACTGTCGAAGATTTCATTAAAACGCTCCGATTCATTTCTGATTTTCTTGTTTTTCCCCTTTGATTTCGCTTAAAGTTTTACAAAATTTCTATTATCTGCCTTAGCTGATTTGTTAAATTTTGTATCGTAGTATTCTTTCATTTTGCTATTAATTAAAATTTTACTAAAGTACAATGTTTTTCGTTTTTCCAAGTTGCCCCTACGCTTACAGATTTGTCTCAATTTTTCATAGCCGTAGATTTTTTCAAATTTAGTGATTTATCCAGAACTTACTTGGTTTAACTCTGGATTTTTTTTGATATACTGGAACGAAATGATTAAGATTCTCTATAGGAAATCTGTGCAGCTCTTCAAAAGCGTTATCGATGTTTTTTTCATCAACTTCTACTTATTGTTTTTTATTTGGTCATGACTATCCTCGTTTACTCGCTTATTATTTTCTCTGTTTGAGATTCAAGCACTCTCTGGTCGCTAGCTGTTATCTGTTTTCAGAACTTTTATTGATCCGTCATTGCTGCTATAAAAAAGATCTAAACAAGGTTTTTGGGTTCAAGCTATATTGAAATTATAATCACCACTTGCGATGTCTTTTTTTCTGGTGTCAGCATTAGAGAATCTAAACGGATCTGCAATTTTTCTAAAGTGTTTTTCCTTGTTGATGTGGTTGGAATATAACTACCGTTAAAACAGTACGACACTTTTGTGTTAAAAGGGCAATGGTTGAAATCTGAACGATTTTATCCGTTACTTTGCTTTTAACAGTGTACTTTTGGTCTTCCCTTATGTGTACGAAAACCCCGCCTCCAGTTTTTCTGCAGCTTCTTTCAGTTTTATTATGGCTCTCCAGATTAAAAACCTTACTATCTTGGTGAATTTTCAGCCAAGTTTCAGGTAAACTTATTGCCTCTGTCTTTTCTTAAGAGTGTGAACCAAACCGTGCAGCTCATCATCTTTTTTCGAGAGCGAGCCTATGTTTTGTAAAATAAATGATTTCTTTATTCCCAGATTTGAAAGTTACTAAATCAACCCTATGAATCCTTCTCTGAGCGTTTGTTTAATTTTCCAAATACATTTTCAAAAAAAAAATATGTTTGTTGAGTGATAATGCTTATGCAGATCAATTAAAAAACTAAAATTGGTTCCACAAAACACATAAACTATATACTTGAATTTTGGTTTGATTGAATAACCCTAATTTTTTCTGTTGTCCTCGATGGAAGAAAATGTCGAAAATGAAAGAAAAAAAAACAGAGAAAAAATATCCCTTAAATGAATAACAAAAATTGACTACATAAAGAGCCTTAGCCGGTCGCGATTTCACAACCTGACACAAGCTTGCTCGGGAACTCACAGGCAGGTTGACTGCAAAGCTTTCGCGATATATAACAGTGGACCTATTTTTTCAAAGCTTTCCCAAGTGGACTCCTCCCTCGTTTTTAGCTGGTCGTGATCTCATAACCTAACACAAGTTTGCCAGCTGACTCAAAGGCAAGACAATTGAAAAACATTTTTTTTATTTGGAAAAAAAAATAAAAAACTAGTATCCATTTTTCTAAGTACGGAAAAATATACACAACATTTTGTAAAATATTTTTTTTTCAAATGAATCTAGAAAAAATATATATTTAACTTGAGACTTATCTGGTTTAGGTCATTTTTCTAGTTTGGTACTAACTTTATTGCATTTAACAGAAAATCAAATTCAGTCAAATCGCTTTAGAGAAAAAGTTCCATTTTTTCAAAAGTTCAATCTTTGTAGAGGCGTTGCATCAGATTTCTAATTCTAACTCTTGTATTTTTTTTTGTTTTCAGTAGACAAACTTTCACTCGAGTCTTTTTCTGTTACACACCTCGATTGCACTGATGCATTGCTCAACCTTTTTTTTCACAGCCTGGTTTTCTAGTGCTATTAATTCTTCCTTTTCGTGCACTCTGACAAAAAAGTCGATGCACTATCTTTCTGTATGAGCACCGATACAGAGCAATTGTTTGTGGTTTTAATCATACTCATTTTGTTGCCCGCTGATCTAATTTCAGCCTAACAACTGGGTAATCTTTCAGATATATATATAAACTTATTTTTCGCCGCGTTTACTTTTCCCCTTAGCTTTCGTCTAGCTCGGATTACAGCATCTATGTCCGGAAAGTAAATAAACTTGCAAATCACTGAGGGCAGGGGTCCTTTTCCGTCACCTGGTAATATGTGACAAGCTTTTATGCAATTAGACGTAAATGAAAAGTTTAGTTTGTCGGCTGTTACGACTTCCTGGCATCAAAGGGTGGGTTTAATATTATCACGCAGTCCTTACTTGGGTATATCTCCTGTGCCCTAAGCCTCACATTCATGTTTTTTTCTTCATTCTGGTCCACAATATCAATTTTTTTCGGCTTTTTCAGTCCCCGAGATAGCAAATTTTCTATTTCTTATTGAACGTCACTAACATCAGTCTGAACGTTTATGGTACTCACGACACTAGGATAATCTATTTGGTCCTTAATTAACAGATATTGACAGAATATAAACGATAACTAGTGTAATTTAGAAGTAAATAATAAAAAATTGGGTCGCTCCTTAAGAAAAACACCATAAAATTTGAATTCGAATGTTGAAATCAATTGGAAACAGGAGAATTTTTATTTCGTAGGTCTTTGATTCTACTTCTCTATTCGATTTTGAACCGCAATTATTTGTAATTTTGATATTGACTCTCAATCGTTAATTGGAACTTGAACCTAATCTAGTTCGGAATTTTATCTCAGTCTTGCATTTCAAACACTCTCGAGAAGGATTTTTTATAGCGAGAAAACGCATCAAAGTCGACAGACTGTTTTTAAGCGAGATTGCAGTCTTCAATTTTAGTTACTACTGACAAATACTAAATCTGTTTTTATCCATAATGTTGCTAATAACTTTTCGGCTGCTGATTGGTTGTCAAATTGAATTTTTCATTTAGTTCCAAACTGTGTACACCGCCGAAAAGCAATTTTACGAAAACTTTCTCTACGAAACTTTGAGATTAAGTTGATTGCAAAAAAAACTTCTGGCTTTGTTAAGATTTCTAGATGCTTCCTTAATCACAAATAAGGTTGTTCAAAATCTTCTCTGCTACTTCTTGAGCTTCATATTGTTTCCATCTTTTGTTGGCAATCGAGGAAAATTGAATGAGGAGTTTTTGAGCAGTTTTCAATTTTTTTGATCAATTTTTTTAACAATAATTTTTTTGGTTTAATTGCTTCTTAGTTTATTTTGTGTATAACGATAATTATAAATAAAATTTCAAAGATAGGCCTGCAAAGTCTGGGTATTTGTCACAGTGGTAACAGCATTGTTTGCGAAGATAAAAGCGTCGAGTACGATTCCAGACAGGAACTGTTTTTTTTTCCAGATATTTGCAATTTTCTTATGGTGCAGGTAATAATGTTTTAATTGGACGTTTTTTTGTTTTCTCGAAGTGTTTTCTAATTTTTGATTGGAGTCATTTGCTCGATAGAACTGTCAACCAATTTCAGGATATGCTATCTAAAGTGGTCGTCGTAAATTTGCACCAAAAAGGAAACCCCTGAAAAATTTGGCGGCTTTAATTGAAAGGGATGGTAACATCACATCATCTCCCCCGCCTTTTCCCTCGGTACGCCAATATGATCTTATCAATAAAATTTTCCTCTAAACTTTCAAAGGTCAGCTTCCGGAGTCAGAATTGTCGGAAGAAAGCCACAAGAAGGCGAGAGTGACTGAGTTTCCTTCGTTCCTCGCTCATATCAGTTATCTTTTGGGGTTCCTCGGCTACCAAACAATTCCAGGATACTCTTTCAAAGAATATGACAACTTCATAAAAGGAAAACATTTGGTACCTTTCAGAGAACAAAGGATAACAGTAAGTGTTGTTCATCATAAATCCTTGTTGAGAAACGAAATCATAGTCTGACGTATCGTTACGCGCATGCTTTTTAGTTTCAAATTCACTGGGAGCTACCAATTTTAATTATAACACTTATATTACTTATATTATACAACGCAAAAGAAATAGAAACGCTATCAATGTTCAATTTTTTTTAGCTGTAGTACAAAAATAAGAGACTTACTAATATATGTACAAAGACTGTGTTTTTTATATGAGGCGATCCAATTCATACTAAGTTTATTGCTGAACATTCAAAAAAATCTCTTTAGGTAATTTGATTATATCAGTTCAGTAGATGTCAAGTTTCATTGATACATTTTTTGAATAGTTTATTGTCACAAACAAAAGAATTTAGATTAATTTTGCCCGTAATTCAGCTCATTTTTCAAAGTTTTCTCTAGAAAAAAATCGAGACAACTCACAGTCCATAAAAAAAACCTGCTGAAAATTTTCATGAAGTTTTTCTATCTATTTTAGTCTGACAATCAGGAAGTCGAAGAGGAAAAATACCCATCTCCAAATGTGAGTGAAATCTTTTCCATGTTGAGTTGTTTTAAATTGGATATACAAGTCAATGGTCTGGCTGTATTTTGAGCGCAATAATTGGCCAGAAAGGAGCAGTTTTAAGATTTAGTTAGTTCTTGGTGAAGTTCTGTCGAAAGAAGGCGAAGAAGAAGCATTGGCATGTCGACATCTAATCATACCGTATTTCCGCATTTGCATCGACATTTTGAACTTGATCAAGATACTTTCTTGCGACAGAACTTAACAGCAGCGAAGACAATATCACAATTATTAACCCTTTAGAATTAGTTTGCAACTTGTTTGAAAACACTTTCGTTCGCTTTTCATTTAACAAATGCTAAAAAAAAGTTTCATTTTTTGACATATATGTTTTTTTGACACGTTACTACATAATTGTTGTGTTTTTGGTTATATCTCTTTGATTTTTTAGGTCTTCTCTCTGGGAAATTTAGTTCGAATCCCGAGCTAATCGCTTTTAGAAATTTGACAATATACTTAAGTGTTAAATGGATGAAAACTGGTTCAGAAACCAAAATGCTTATTTTTAAGGTTTATAAATTTCACTTTTGATCGAAAAGATATCGACTCCAATTAATTTGAAAATTCAACTATTCCTTAGACTTTTTGCACAGCTCGAATACCACAGCTTAGCTAACATCACCTGAAAATTTCTTGAGCACCAAAAATTCGGTTGTTTTTTGCAGAAACTGTAAAAAAAACTTGATTCGCTTTTACAATTCAGAAAAATAAATCCACTCTAGAAAACTGGAATCTATCTGTTTTATTTTGGCAAACGCGTTTAAAAGCGAGCTGCAAAATTCAAAATGCAATTTGACAAAACCACAAAAAAAACACGATATTTCATAATTAAAAAGCAAAACACTTAAAAATTACCCGGGTTCCCTAATTTACTAAATTGCATTTCACTCCTTTTCCCAAAAAATGTTCTTTGGTCCTAATTTGTTCTTTAGAACTAGCAGAATTTTTTAAGATCATCGAGTAGAGCTCAACCCGCACTGGAGTTTCATGAATAGTAAACGTTTATATATGTTGCCATTTTATAGTCGGTATCCAAAAAATTACAAGAGGTTAATTAAAAAGGGATTATAATCCTTATACTTTTTATATCAAAAGAACCCATTATAATTAAAAATAATATATTATAATCCATTAAAAATTCATTATAATCATAGTACTTTCATTTCAATTTAATACATTAGAATCGATTATAATCGATTATAATGGACTTTTGAGAAGTTATTGAAGAATTTGCAAATTTTGCAAGTTATCGCGTTTCCTGAATAGTGCAGTTCCTATGGATTACATTCATAACCTTAAATTTTTCATATAAGATTTTATACATTCAAATTTCTCTACTTTTTCAATTTGGCAGTTTAACATTTTATGGAACTGTTATATTTTTTTTACAAATCCACGGTAAAAAAGGTTACCATTCGCCTACTATCCCCCCGCCCACTGCACCTCGTCCCACCCTCTGCTTAGGCGTCACTGAGTGTTGTGGGGGCTGTTGCAGGTAACTGGAATGTTTATCCATCCAAGTAGGGGGTTAAACGGTGGGGGGAGTGGTGGGGGTTTTGGAGTGGCGGGGGTTTTGGAGTGGCGGGGTGTGACTGGTTTGGGAGTAGCGGGGGTGTCGAAACCTGGGGGCGTGTGGGTGTAGATGAGGCGGTGGTGGTCGGGTAGGTGGTAGAAGTAGGGGAGGTGGTAGAAGTAGGGGAGGTGGTAAGGATAAAATGTGGAGCAATAAAAAAGGGGTGGGCTGGTAATCTTGGAGTGGGGGGAGGCGGTGGGGTAGGGGGGACAAATTTTTAGGGATGCACATTCGAGTTATTTTAGGGATGAACATGTTTGGTTCGGTTTTAAATTTGCAGAACGTTGATTTTTTAACAATTTGGTGTCATTTTGATAAAATTTTGCAAATTTTTCATCCAAATGTTTCAAGTGTGTAATTAGCTGTAAACATTTTTCTGCAGGTTTTTGTGGCCTAAAAATTCGATTATATTGCCAAGATAATTGATTATAATGGGTTTTTAAATAGTGAAAATAATCGATCATAATCCCCTAAAAATCCGCTTTCATGGTTGGATGGGTCATGAAAACCGATTATATGGGCTAAGTTTTTTGACAATATATTCAATTATAATCGACTATTTTCCATGAAACTCCAGTGCGGGAATCCTTAGCAACCAAATTAACAAATTTCAAAAAATAGTATGCAAATCATCTTTTTAACAACTTCTGACCAAATTTGAATTAAAGCCGGGGCAGATTTAGGGGAAGATAAATTAGTGCAGAGGCAGGTTTAGGGGAAGGGGCGGGGGGACGCCCCCTTACCTCAGGGATTCCACCCTCTGCCGACCCAAAGGGGCCTCACTTTGTACTATTTTGAGATATCCATATTTGTTAACGGAAACTAAAAATTTTCTAAAGGCACCGTGGGCGTCAAATTATACTCACTTTGAGGGGGGAACGCGTGCCAAAAAAAAATCAATTTTTTTGTCAAAATTTTCCAAAAAGTACTTAATAATGTTTTATTTTTCGGCCTGTTTTTTTTAAGAACTTGACAAAGAACAGAAGAACCATTTAATCAATAATTGTCCGAGAAAGGTCAATGACTCCCTCCAATGCAAACTAGGAAACTTTCTACGCCTTTTACATGGATACCAAAAAACATAATTTAAATTGCAGCAATTGTTGTAATAAATACAAAAAAAATATTTATTTTTTGTCCTAAAAAAAGAAATATTTATTTTTCAACCCTTGTAATAAAAAGGATTCATTTTAAAGCCACAATTATTGCAACGCAGAATGCGGAATCTTTCCAAAAGAATGACGTAACACAGTGCGACCAGCCTCGCATCGGCCAGCTTGCTTTTTTTTCGAGGGAATGGGTTTCTGGCCGCACTGTATTACGTCATTGACAGAATAACTTAATGATGCCGAGACAGAACAACTTAACTGTGTGCTAAGTTTAATTTTATACACGTAATGGCTCCCACAACTAAAACACCTCATTCGAAAGCGGTTAATCAGTATTTCGCAAAAACTTCTGCAACAAGATGGAAACACTTTTGCGATACGGAATGAGAAATGAAGAAATGGGAGCAGTTTTTTCAATCTACTAGGGAGATAGTTGTTATCAAGTCATTGATCGATGACCTTAAAAGAATTCTGTCGGTTACCTTGAAGCTACAGGAAGATATATTGACTATTTCTGATGTTAGATTTTTATTTGATGGATTTGTGGTGCGGTATCTTGAAATGCAACATTACTTGACACCAGAGTCGGATTTGGAACATTTGACATTTGAGAAGAGAAATTACAGAAATTGAAACAAACAGAAACGTCATCAGACCAATTGTTAGCAGATACATATGGGAACTTGAGCTGGTATCCCCCTACTTCTAAGTGTGTTGAACATCTTTTTAGCCAAGCAAAACTTCTTGTTAGGCCCCAAACAATGAGAACAAACGCCCCATCATTTCGAAGAGAAATTTACCTAAAAGACAATCAGGACCTCTATAAACTGTTTTTTAATTTCAGCCCTTAAATTAATTTTGTTTGTTGATTTAATGCTGGCTGTCTTCTCTTTACTCTTCAGGATATGCTACTCGATGAGCAGTACTGCTCTTTAGGATCTCCCTCCAGACATATTATATTGCTTTTGGCATTGTATATGTAGCTGGTAAAGTAATTAAAATTTCAAACATCAAACTGTTTTCTATTACTCAATAAGAAATTCTGGGGTCCTGATACTGTTAACTCAACTCTCAATTAAAGTTTCGCATAAAAATATATATATATTTTCCCATTTTAGCAATAATTGCACTTATTTATTTTTTGCCTTGCAAAATAAAAATTATTCATTGAAAGGTTTGAAAAAATACAAAAATATATTTTTCAACTGCAAGTGTATTGAAACAAGATTGCTCGTATCAGGACGAAGCCCTGATTGTTCCGACTGCCTTTTAAGATCTATGGAGCAGAAATAACATGAAAATTTTAAATGCAAATTTTAAAAAAAATATGAGATTTTTTTGAAAAATGTCCCCCCACACGCCATATCAAAAGCAAAATAATGAATTTCGCTCCTTTTAATAAATCAATTATGGCATACAAGCTTCCTTGAGCCAATATGGAACGATTTTTAACAAGGATTGAATCTCTGCAAACGCGTTAATAGCGCGAAATATATCGCGCGTTAATTGTCCCAAATCGGCCAAAATGGTAACCTTTAAACCCCCATAACTTCACGAAAAATAATCACAGGTGAAATATCTTTTCAAATTTAAGCTCAAGACAACAAAATTACTTTTGAATGATATTAAAAATTCTGTCAAAGTAGGCTGGTTAAAAAGTTTTCAGAAGAAAAAAAACCCTCCCGAGCACAAATATTCCGTTAATTTCGTTACGAAAGTCGGAACAGTAATATTTTTTTTTGGGATTCCTGGCCTTTATGCCCCAATTTATGCTGCCTAGTAATAAAATTTTTCTTCACCAATAAAAGCATAATTCATTGGTGAAAGCAAATATGTAGCCCCCATAGTAAAATAATCACAGCGTGGTGGGGCTCCAAATGTTTTCTACTAGGCTGGGGAGGGGGGGGGGGGCTCGCAATAATAAGGAACACCCAATCAAGGCTTAAGGCAATAGGAAATTTGCACTGAACCCCGCACCCCTTTCGCAACTGGGAAAATCAAAAACGAGATCCCAGTTTACCAATTGTGTCTTTCAGTGGATGGTCCTGACGCATCTTCCACTGGCACTGGCTTATGGGTACGCGTTACGGATGTTGGCGCCTTATTTCCAGCTGAGATTTATGGCAGGTAAAATATGATTTATCTAATATAATTTCAATTAAAACTGAAGTTTCGAACTCAAAACCAAGTTAACATCCTCCCCCTAAACGACCTGGGGGGAGGGGAGAATGTTAACTTGGTCTTTTATGAGTAGCAACAATTAATCAGCAAAAAAATGGTTCGACTGAAGCTATGAATCGACAAAAGCTATTCAACTTCGAAAGGTTTTCACTTTTATTTGGACTGCGTGCCAATGTCTAAGCCGCAAGCAATGAGCGCGGGTCAAATTAGTCTCGAAATGGTGGTCGTTTTCAATAGATCCCCAATAACTAAAACTAATTTTTCTTGGAATCTCTCAAGAGCTTACAGGAAATATAAAAACTGTGTCAACATTCAGATGGCTAGGGTTGCCATTTAAATAGCCTGCTTTTAAAAAATCGTTTTTTTTCTTGGCAACGGAATAAAATGTTTTTTAATCATAAAGCAAGATTGTTAAATACATCGGATAAGAAATCCCTTAAATTTTTGAAGTTCTGCGTTAGAGGATTTTCAATCTGATCTATGTAAATAATTTTTTTATCCGACCCCCTGCCGACCCAAAGGGTCCCCCTTTTGATACTTTTTAAGAAATCCATTTTTGGCCAACCGACCCTAAAATTTTTCTAGAGGCGCCTTTGGCGCCAATATATACTAAATTTGAGGGGGAGCGCGCACCAAAAAAAAAACGCAATTTTTCTGGCAAAGTTTGCCAAAAAATGCCCAAAAGTGCCCTTTTTTGGCCTGTTTTTTCAAACATTTACCTGCGCACACAAATTTGGCCCAAAACAGCGTCTTTTTATCTCGGAAAATCAATTTGGTCAACCTAAAAAAAGGTCGTCAAAATTTTCCAAAATTTTTTTTTGAAAATCCGCCACCCTCGAGAAAATCCTAGGTCCGCCCCTGCGGCCATCTCTAAAATAGTCCTCCAGTTCACTTTGGAAATAATTTCAAGTAGTCCATTCTCTTTCTCCAAAGCGGGAGAAAGACCCATTTTGAAGGTAAAGCCATTTCCTGTATGGATTGCATCGTTGGAATCGTCCACGTAGATCGATTTAATTAGCTTGCGACCTTCTAGAACATTCTGTCTATCACTATATTTGTTCACAAATGACACACTCGCACCTAGTAAACGTTCTAAGTCAGATTTGAATTGATCTATTTCAGATCTAAATTTCAGATCTTAAATTTTGTTTAGTATCAGTCTTACAAAAACTGAGAAAAAAATGGACTTTACACAATTAATAATCGATTATAATCTCTTTTTGAAATTAAATATAATCAATTATAAAACATGATAATCGCTTACAGTCGATCATTCTTTATCCGAGTTTCTAATTCATTTGTTTTGCAGAAAAGATCCATCATAATCTATGATAATTGCTTATAATCCTTTTTGTTTGCCCATTTTATCTTCGACCTTGCGCATTAATTACTTATATTTTATGCTTTTCGTAGACGTTGGCTAAATGAAAAATGGGAAAATTGTTTTAACAAGTTTCAAATCAATTCAAGCTTATAACGTTTTTGTTTTTTCATTTCTTCTTGATTATAGTTGTTTCATGATGTACATTTTAGATTTTTTGACCACCAAAAAATCTGCATACTGCTTTAGTTTCATGATTTATATTCAAAAGTTATATTTCACCTACCGCGGGATTCTTTCAACTAAAAAGAAGGGATCTCTATCAAACTTTTGTTTCGTGGTAAAAGTTTGTGTTCAGATGAACCAAAGAGTGACAAGACATCTCTCTGAGAGATTTTTGACAGAAAAAAAATCTTATTTTCTAATATAATAAATTATAATAGATTATACGAGACTACAAGAGATTATAAGAGATTTTCGGAAAAAGTTTAATCAAATATAATTGATTTTATTTAATATAAGTCACGAAAAATCTTATCATTATAATGGATTATAAATTTTTTAAACATCTAAATTTGTCGCTTGTATTGAAATAGAGTTTTGATAAAAGCACAATTATATTTGTAATATAATCCATTATTTTCGCTTTATACTGAGTGCGGTAATGATTAAGACGAGCTACTAGCAAGTACTCAGTAAAGTCTCAAAAGCGAGATTGCCGAAATATGTTTCCCCAATCATGACACGCATCGGACAAACATTGCACAAGCACACATTGAGCAAGCATAAATTTGATAGGCCTTCGAACAGTTTTTGAAAACTTTTCCACAAAGTTGAACAATAATATTAGTTCAAAAAAAAATGTTTATGAAGTTATTCGGAACAAATTTCTTTACCGCTAGTTAATCTAAACATAATTGTGTATTGCAGAAACATCAAAAAGTTCAATTGTTTGCTCGAAATGCATAGAATATAATTGAACAAAGGGTTTCTCAGATCTAATTACAGATCTGAAACTTTTTATCTCAAGGTTATTTCAGATCTGAACGTTTCTATTTCAGATCAGAATTTCAGATTTTCTTGTAAAGATATGAAATAAAGTTTTTCAGATCTGGGAATCAACTCCGGGAAGAAATAAAGAATTTCAGATCCATTTTCAAAACTCCAAAAAATGCCTGAAACGCTTTTTTTAAACATTTGCCTGCATCGCAAAATTTTGGCCAAAATAAGGTCTTTATAGTGATTTCTGAATTTTTTTGAAAACCCGACCCCCCGACTTTTTTTTCACAGCTTTGGGTAAATGCCCGAGGTCAATCAAAATAAAAGAAACTAAACGTACGAAATCAAGCACTAAATCATCGAAAAATATTTAAAGGAAAGCCCTGTTTTTCCTGACTGGAACAGCGTTAAAAGTTTTAAAAACTGAACCAACGTTGGTAATGATTATAAATAATAATTTCCAGCAGCTGTAATTCTAATGAATTTTGCCGGTTAAAAAATTTAATGAAATTAACCTGCGAGTTGGCCCGAACAAAGCAGTCGATAGATTTTATACTGTTACAGCTTAAATTGAGAAATGCAGAATACAGAACTTTTTGCAAAAGTGCCTGCAGGTCTACGAAGATTTAAAGGCAGCAAGTGATTTCACAAAGATGAACAAAATAAAACAGGCACATGTTTTAGAGAAAAAAGTTAATAAAATATTTGATATGTAAAATCTAACTAACTTTTTATTTTTTGATAAAATTCTGTCAGCAGTTCAAGTTGAGTACGCAATAAATTTTACTTAGCTGAAGCTTAGCGGTTTTTTTTGAGATAATATACTGTAAATAAATCCGTTTATGATAGCCTTTTTAAATACGTAAATCGATTTAGAACTCGACTTTAGGCTCAACTTTGGTAGGCAAACAACATAAAAATGAAATTTTTAATCAGAAAAAATTATTTGGTGCAGAAAATTCATTTATCCTTCTGGTGCAGAAAGTATATTTGTAGGCCAAACATCAAAACGAAGTCATTTGAAAAGCATGGTTAAAACTTTATTTCCACTATTTTCTACTGTTTGATAGTTTAGAAAATCTGTATATAACCTGTATGTAGTCTGTAAAAAATGAGCACACAAAACATCGTTAAAATCGATTTGAATTGTTTTTCATTACTCAAACTCGTAGGAAAACGGAAAAAAATTCAGAAAAAAGGATTTAAATTGATTTAGAGTCGATTGAAATGGATTTTTGTTCTATAAGTTGGGAACAAATTAAATCGATTTCAAATCAATTCAAATCGAATTTTCAAGTCCTTGCTACATTATCTGTATAAAATTGATTGCAAGCCATTTCTTTTCAGCAAGGGAACATCAAATAATCCGCTTGACTTGGTTCAGATCTCTTGATATCCGCACTGAACTAGATACTTTTGCAGCAACTTAAGTTCATTACTAAGAGCTGTTATGGATTTGAATCTACTTGGATGGATTTTGTTGAATACTAAAATCCACAAGAATCTCACCAAAATTGATTTAGGTCTGGCCACTGCAAGGAAATAACAATCAACATTTTGCCAATTTGCTATCAATGTATTGCCCAAAACTTTCCTTAAACAGGAACTAAATATAGTTTCAGATGACACTGTTTGGTTGAAATTCTTCTAAGATTCGTTTTGTTTTCTCTTCAATTAGCCGTTTCTTGCTTTTTGCTAGGGTGCTTTTTGTGCAAAAATTTTATCTATCATTTATACTCAAAGATTTTTTGAGGCCAAACATCAAAACGAAAAGTCATTTGAAAAGTAAGGTTGAAAATTTTTTCCCAACTTTTCTCTATTGTTTGATAATTGAGAAAATCTGTATAAAATGAGGATACAAAAAAGTCGTTAAGAATTGATTTACCTTAATTTTACTGTTACTCGAACCCGTAGGAAAATGGAATAAAAAAAAGTTGATTTTGAAGTTAGCCAGACTTTAAGCAAAAAACTATGTAACAAATCAAAAAAATAGTCAACATAAGTTAAATTTTGAGCTCAAAATATGCAAATAAACCGTAAAAATCTGATCATCTTAAATCAAATTTTGTATAAAAGCTATAAAGCAAATCAAGAAACCGAACGATACCAATCAGATTTATGCTCAAAAATATCCCTTAAAAACATTGAAAATAGTCAATGCAAACCAGAATTTGACCAAAAAAACTATGTAACAAATCGAGAAAATATTCTGAATAAATCAGGTTTTAAGAAGTTTTTTCTAAAAGTCGTTGAATTAGACGAAATCGTTAAAAGTCCAAAAGTGATCGCATACTAATTAATACGTCAGTAATTTATTAATTGGTACTTTTGTGATGCTTATGTTGTCATGTCATATATATCTTCTCAATCTTCTCAATCACCAGTTCA